TGAGATTGGGGTTGGGGCCTGGAGATGGGGGTGGGGGATTGGGATCAAAGCCTGGGGTTCTCAGGACCTGGAGATGGGGTCAGGGCTGGGGATGGGACTGGGGTCTGAGAATGGGGTCAGGGCCTGGGCATAGGATTGGGGTCGGGGCTCGGGGCTGGGCCCAGGGCTGGGGTTGAGGTCTGGGGGTGGGGTCACGGCCTGGGCTTGGGGCTGGGGCTGGGGCTGGGGATGGGGATGGGGTCGGGGCCTGGGCCTGAGTCTGGGGAATGGGCCTGGAGATGAGATTGGGGTTGGGATTGGGATTGGGCCAGGGATGGGGATGGGGATCGGGACCTGAGGATGGGATCAGGGGCCTGGGGAAGGGCCTGGGACTGGGGCTAGAGCTGTGTTGCTGTGTTTGGGGAGCAGGGCCCCCCTTGGGACGGAGGAGTGGGGCCCAGACCCCTGGTGCTGAAGGATGAGGCTGGGGGATATAACAGCCTCAGTTCCCCCGTTTGCACTGACCAATTCTTCCACTAAATTCCCTAGTGTAATTTTTACCCTTACCCCCACCTTTCATTGCCTTGTATTGTTTTGATCATATTTTAACTTCCTTGAGGCATTCTGGGCAATCCCAAGGGAGGGGAGGGAGATTTGTGCCCCTCTGGTCTGCAAAGCAAAGCTGCTGATAGAGCAGCAAAGCATCAGAGAGCCGCAATAAAACCCTGCCAACCTGCATGCAAAGCGTGTAACAGAGCTTCAGCAAAGCAGTGTGCCCACACAAAGCAAGTGGGCAGGGGGAAGGAGCTGGTCAGACCCTGGGGCACCCATGGATGTTCTATAAAATGCGCTTTTTTCTCTTGGTTTGTTTGTTGTTTGTGTTGTTTTGTTTGTTTTTGTTTTTTCCAAAGCATTCCCTGTTTTCAGTGTTTTCAAAATTTGGGTTGCTTTACTCAGTGCGAGCACACAGCAATGCTGCTGTGGCAGGGCCTGGCTGCTATGCTATCATCAAGTTCTACTCAGCTGCAGATGCCAGCAGAGCCCAGCATGCGTGCAACGGGCAAAGGCTATTTCAGAACTCTCCAATGAAGGTAAGGAGGATGGCCAAGCTGTGCCATCCCTCAGCACCAGGACCTGCAGCAGTAGGGTAGAAGCTCTGGGTGTATCTGATGATCTGTGAGATGCTATCTGTGCTAACTTGCTTGCTTCTTTCCTGAGCAGGTTTGTGTTTGCACCAAGCAGAAGGGATTTCAGCAGCAAGTCCTTGCTCTCAACAGCAACAAGTGCCAGGAATTGGCCAACCACTACCTTGGCTTTAACGGCTGGTCCAGCCGTATCATCACAGTAAGGGGCCCTTTCTAGTCTTAGAATCAGAATCTTTGAGGTTGGAAAAGACCACTGAGGTCATCAGCCCATCACCAGCATGCCCATTCATTGAACCATTAAGGTTGGAAAAGACCACTGAGATCATAAAGTCCAGCCATCAACTCATCACCACCATGCCCACTGAACTGTGTCCCTCCGTGCCACATCCTTGTCACTCCAACCATCAGCCTTCCCCTCGTTCTCCCATATTCCCCTCATTTATCCCATACTCTGAAAAAAAGCAGTTGGTGGAGTGCACAGAATTGTCCTCCAGTCAGCAAATAACAAGGACAGGTACAGGAACTGGGATTTAGGGTTCTTTTGAAAGCTTGAGAAGATTGCTGTGGGCAAGAGCATTGGCTGGGCTTCTGTTTGTGCACATGAGGGCAGCGGGTTTTCATGCAGTGAATAAAACAGTGCCAGAGCTTGTCATTGAGTGCTGAGTTCCTGAGGTAACTGAGACTATGAAACATTTCTAAAATAGGGTCAAAACAGTCAGCATCCCCACTGTGCCTCCACCACCTGTGCAGAAAAGCTCTGTGCCACGCTGTGGCCACTCAGTCACAACACCTCCTTCCTCTTTAATCTCAAACAATTACTTGTGGCCTTCCAACAGCTGCAGAATGTGTCTGGCTTTGATGATGAGAATGAGGAACTGGGAAAGAAGCGATCTGTGAGATACCTGTGTGCTGTGGAAGTAATGCTGCCCAACCACGGGGTACACAGCCGGGGAGTTGGGCTCGGTGAGGCAGACGTTGAAAATGGTGAAGGTTTGTTTTGGCCATTTGATTTTGTTTCCCATTGCCGTGCAGCTGCTTCGTCTGCAGGCTGTCATCTTAATTAACATGCTGTTTCATGGGCGTAGATCCTCTGGATTTTGTCACAACCACAAGAAGAGTTCAGAAGCTCGCAGTCGGCAAAGCTTTGTCCAGTGCCTTTCAGAAGATACTCCTTGTGGTTTTAGGTAAGGCCTGGTTTGGGGTTAAACAAGCACTCAGTAGTCCCTGCCCTTCTGTTGTCTTCAGTGTCTCTGGGGCTACTATCTGAGATTTCAATTAAAGAATCTGGCTCTGTGCCTACCCGGGAGCTGCTGGATGTGTTTTCCCTGCATTTCACATCTGGTGTTTTCCAAGCTTTCAGGTGACACTGAATTATGTGATAACTGAGTGCTTTAGCCCTTAACACATTCAACTTCAGGAGAGACCTTCATCTGATGAGGTCAGTGCCACCATTCTCACTTCACAAAGGAAGGACTTCCATAGCAGGCATCACCTCGTGCTGTGGTACTGACACAGCAAACCATCTGAGCAGGAACTTTGTTAAATTCAGCAGGATTTAATTAACCTGCCAGCTTCCTCCCCGGGATTCTTTAAGGCATTCCTTAGAAGGGAGGGTCTCTGGATGCAGATATTTTGCAGTGCTTTTTGCCTTCTGGTCCATGACGTATACAGAGCCCAGTAATTAACACGTTCCGTATCCTCATTTTCAGTTTCCACTCCATTTAGTCAGAACCTTTTGGTTTCCTGCAGAGAAGACAGAGAAAGAAGCAGCATTACCCAATGCAGTAACCACCACTCTTTTCCTCTGTACCTTGTAATTAACGTGACAAATCCTTCAGCTGTGTCCTTCTTCCACCCTAGAATCACAGCAGTAACGAAGTAGAGTTGCCCCACATGGAGCTGAGGGTAGTTTTAGTGTCACTGCACACAGTAACCATGTCTCTGCCTGCGTGTTCTATTTCAGAGAGTGGTAAAGTGGCTGTGGAGTACAACCACGCTGCAGAGGAGCCCACAGACTCCCTAACAGAGGAGGAACTGGAGGGGCTTGTTCAGGTAACAGCAGCTGACGTTCAGCATTTGCACAGTATCTGTGAAAGTGGAAATCCCAGTCAAGTTACAGTAGGTTAAACCAAATTATTTTTAATAAGATCTTCAATAAAACTCCCCGTCTAGAAACGCACTTCATAGCCTTATCCCAACCCCAGGGGATGACTGCTAAAATGACCTGTGGGTAATTGTGAGAACTGTTAGCATGCACCCAACAAAGACACACAGATACAGTGCATTTGTTGTCACCACACTCGGTGAGATGAATTCTGAACGCCAGCTTTTTCACACTGCCAGTCCTCAGCAGCTTCTCAGCTCGGAATCACTGTGCTCTTTTGAAAGCAAGCTTTACTCTCACGTGATGCATCAGCAGCACACAGCGCAGTGTCCAATTCCTCCTGCAGTTTGCATGAAGGAAGTGGCTAATGAACCTTGTGACACATTCCTCCATTTGATGACACTGAGTCACCTACTGTCCAGAGGAACAATCTTCCTTTCTCACTGAAGTGTAACTAAAACAGGAGGTGTTTTTGCGTCTGAAGCAACCGATGTCCACCCGATTTGTTTTATCTGTTGAGGAGATGAAATTTATGCTTGGATTTCTCTTCCCAGGTCAATGAATTGCCTTTGCAACCGTTTGACTTTGAAGAAGAAGTTTTGTCTGACCTGACTCTGGATGATGAGCTCCCTGTGTGGGAGATGCCATCTAATTAGTGCAGGTCTGTCTTCAGATCACTTCCAAAAGTTTGATTAGGGTTGAAAGCCTAAAGCTGTGCAATGACAACTACCTCATATCCAACGTTTTATTTTTCTCCAAATACAGAAGAACAGTGAAAGAAATGGGCAACAGACCTGCAGTTACTAAAATTAAGCTAAAAAAATGTATGATGTTTCTGGGGAGAAAGTGTTTTCCTGTCAGCCTATGCAGGTCAGCTATATATGGAAACAAGCTTACCTACGTGGTGATTATTTAGACAGCGTAACAGATGTGCATAGCACTCAGAAAAAAAATAAAATGAACAAGCAAGAGCAAGAGCAGTTTGGGTTAGCTGTGATCAGCAGGAGAAAGCCAGAGGCAGTGAGAGATGATGTACCAGCAGGAGTAGCTGTGGTACTTAAAAGTAATACTCCTCTGGGTGAAATTTCTCTTAGAGAGATAAACCGCAGCCCTGTGTTGATGTATTGAACAGTTGGGGCATCATTATGATGTAAAACAAAGATTCTTTTTAACTTAGAACATGTTTCTCATTAAATTAAGCAAACTTTTTTTTTTTTTTTTTTTTGTAACTCTGTGCGCTGTGTGAATCTTTGGGGCAGTGAATTCAATGGGAATGTCCATCCACTCCGTAGATCTGAAGGGCTCGCAGTGGGGAGGGAATGCTCATTTCATAACAAACCTCTGCTCAGATTTTTGCCTCCTGCCCTTGGCACAGAAGAAAAATGGGAGAGCTCAAGGAAAAACCTGAGAGTCTAAGGGTGCACTAAGCACTAAGGGTGAAAGGAAAGGATCGTGGCACATTTAATTTAACAAAACACGGCTGCAAATCACCAAGCTTCCTCTTTCTTATTATTCAAGTTGGAAATAGTTGGGCTGATGTGAAATTAAAACCTATTGGCACGTTTAAAAATTGATCTTCCAAGCAGCAGCCCAATGGAAAGTTCCCATCCCAGCACAGGCATCCCATGGCTGTGGGGCTGCCTTCACCTCAAGGACACCACAAACACACAGTGATGTCATTCTTAACGTGCTTTTTCTGAGGGGCAGTGCCACTCACAGAAGGGCAGAACCACAGAAATGGCCCAAAGCCACCCCTGGGAGCCATGAGGTGCAGTGAGGCCTACACTGGCCTACACAAACCCGAAGCCTACACTCACCTGAGGCCTACACAAACCCGAAGCCTACACTCACCTGAGGCCTACACATACCTGAGGCCTACACATACCTGAGGCCTACACTCACCTGAGGCCTACACTCACCTGAAGCCTACACATACCTGAGGCCTACACACACCTGAGGCCTACACCACCTGAGGCCTACACAGGCCCAAGGCCTACACACACCTGAGGCCTGTGCAGACCTGAGTCCTGCAGCCCGGTTGCCTGGCAACCATGGTGGCAACACCATGGTTCTACCCCGACCCCACCACCCATTCCTCCTCGTCCTGGTGTTCCCGTTGGTGGCAGCTCTGCCCCCAGGGCAGCCCGTAGCCCTCTGCCCGGCCTCCTGTCACTGTCACCGGTGGTTGCTGGACTGCAGCCGAGCCTCCATGGTGGCGGTGCCGCGGGCCGCCCGCCGCTGGGCCCTGTCTGTGCTGTGAGCAGTTTGTAGGGGAGCGGGGTTTTGTGTTCCACGCCTCACCTTGGGGGACCCCCCATTCTCCAAGGAAGCAGTGAGATGGAACGGGAAAGAGCAACTTATGCATAATGTCATTAAAGGACTGCCTGAAATCCTCGTGCTAATGATAGAAGCAGCTCTGAGATGGGGCACAGTGCGATAGGGCGAGAGGAGGTGGTGGCCCTGAGTTGTGCTGGGGGGGTCAGGTTGGATGTGAGGAAGCGTTTCTTCTCGGAAAAAGCAGTGATACATCAGCACAGGGGCTGCCCTGGGGGTGGGGGAGTCACCATCCACAGAGGGGCTCATGGAAAGAGGAGGTGTAGCACTGAGGGATGTGGTTTAGTGGCAATATTGGTGGTAGGAAAATGACTTTAGAAGACTTTTCCAGCCTTAACAATTCTATGATTTGCAAGCAGTCTTTCTGCAGGCTACTTTTTGCAGACCTTTTAGCAATTGCACTCATGTGACACTCATTTGTTTGCAGAAATTTCACCAGTAACTCTATTTCTTCCATTGAAAAAGAAGCGTGGAGGGAATACCCATGGGCTGAGCACTTGTAAGTATTCATTTGAAATGTCAGGAGTTCAGATAGTTTCAGTCCAGACGCTCTATTTCTCTGAGCTGAGGGTATGAGGAACACAAGCACCCACACAAAGCATTTCCATGTGAGTTCAGAGCTGAGCTGCTCAGCAAGGAGGGATAAGCCCCCTAACTTCCAGGAGTGGCTGAAATGCTGTGAGCTATGGGGAAGGCTAATGGTGCCAGTCCAAGAGGGCCATCCCTGTGCCTAATTAATCAACAATCAGGCTACAGTTGGCTTCAGCAGCTCAGGGGGGAGTGCCTGCTCCTCCTGGTGCAGCAGTAAATGACTGTTTGTTTCGTTGCAGAGTTCTCCAGGACAATGATTTGAGGGCGGTGAAGAGGCATTCGCTGGAGGGTTTGCTGCTGCTGAAGCATCTGTACGTGTAGGCTGGTTCTGTCCCCCTCCCCATGCAAGCGTACTTCATTCCCCCCCATTGTTTCAGCAAAACACAGTGCCACGATCCTGCAGTAGTGACCAGTGGGAGGATCCATTGTGGGGCCGTGGTGCAACTTTAATTGCCCCAAACCTCCCAGAGATGAGGAGGCTGCTGCCCTTTCTCACTGGGTGATTCACAGTCAATCCCACCTCAGCTGTGGCCTCCCATGACCTGGAGATTACCTCTAGCTTTATCTGAGGACTGTTTAGGTGTGGCAATCACCAAAACAAGGCAAAACCCATGCATACATGCCTCACTTCTGCCAAGGTTCGGATGGAAAATTACTGCAGTGAAGACAGAGCCCTGTAGTGCTGATCACCCAGGGCAAGCTCTCAGCTTGCTTGCTGTATTTCTGCCTGTGTCACTTCCCGTGCTCAGAGCTCACATCACCTGAACCTTACAGAGAGGTTGCATCTCTGGGGCACATCCAGAGGGGCATGCGCTTGGTTGTGGCCCCTGCAAGTGCTTCCTTGGCTGCTAAAGAATCTGTTATAGGGGAAAATTGAGCCCTGAAACAATTCTGGTGGGGTCAGAGCTAGAAAAAAAGCACAGAGATGGAAAGACACTTCCAGGCACGAGGGTTATGGCAGGTTACACACCACCGGTATCAGATATAAACACTGTGTGAAATTAGAGCCATGAAACACATATGCTGTCAAAGCAAGGGAAAGTAAACACGGCGGTGCAAATGTAACCAACATTTCGTGTTCTAATTTTAACAGGGATTTATCCGGCAATAAAATCCTGTCGATTGAGGAACGTGCTTTTGAGCCACTTCCCTTCTTGCAGCTTCTGTGAGTCGTAAAAATTTATTTTTGCTGAAGTCTTTTTGCATTTATAACCCTCTGTGTGCTAGGAAATGTTCTTTATTTTTGGAAGAGTGGCAATTTCTCCTGCTAAGCTGGGCTAAAGGGGTCGGTGCAGATGGCTGCGACACACAGCAGGATGAGATCAGTGCAGTTGCCCAAACGCAGCCATGATTTTCCCGAAGGCTCACTGTACCCTGGAACAGAAATAGATGAAGCACATGTGCAGTTCGTTTCCTCTCCTTGACAGGTTGAAAGAACAAGAAGGCAGCAGTTTCCTCCCCGTTCTGCCTCAGATTTGCATATTTCCTACAGATCAGTGCTGTTCTGCTTCCTATAGGACACACCAGATCCGTTTCTTTCTCCCCAGAAACCTCAGCGGAAATCTCATGGCACGGATCCAGAAGGACACTTTCCAGGCATGGCATGGGATGCAGTTTCTACAGAAAGTGTAAGTTCTGCAAGCTCTGAAGGTGGATGGGAATGGGACTCCACAGCGGTACTGGGGAGAGCACTTTGCATATCTGCATTTAAAAGCAAAGGTGCTCAAAATCATCCACAAATGGACATTTTGTTCCTTTGGTGCCTACAGAAACGTGATGTAATCCACAGCCAAGGAGCCCTTCCAAGGACAGGGTCACAGTTTCCATCTAGGCCCAAAGGAATTCAGGGCGTTTTGCCCCCAAAGCTTCACAGGCATAAAGAAAAGGCCACTTCTTTTCTTTCAGCTGCAGATGATGAGGCCCTGCTGTATTTTGTGGCTCACCCCATCTGTTCCCATCTGCACCTTCAGCCCAGGCCCTTCCTCACACATCAGCCAGTCCTTTATCTCCAGGCTGAAATTTCCTATGTTTGTTCTCCGCTTGAAAGGAAACTCTTTGGGGAGATAGGAGTCAAAATGGTTCAGCCGAATCCACATCTGCCATCCATGATGAGGCTGGATCCTCATCCTCACCCCACCCGTGTGGGATAGAGGAGCCTGGAAAGGGGATTTCAGTGTGGCTCAACATCAGATCCAGCACATGCAGCTCTCTGATATTGAAACGTGAAGTCTGGCAAAGAGGAGAAATGGATCACGGAGAGGCTTGGCAGTGACCTAGTGGAAATTCACTTTGATTTGTTGTTGTTTTTCAGGATCCTGAGCCACAACCCGCTGTCTGTGATCGATGACGCATCGTTCTTTCAGCTGCCAGCTGTCAGCTATCTGTGAGCATCGACTCGTTTTGAGTGGGTTAATACATAACTCTGTTCCTCCTGAGGTAGGAAATCACTTCTCCCAGCAAATCAAAGGACAACTTCTGGGCTGTCTGCAAAGCAACCAAAGAGCTGGGACACAAATGAGGGGTTGGGGGGAAGGTGGGGAAACCCTTCTGCTTCAGTCCTGTGGTTGGGAGCACCCGAAAGCAGAGGTTATGAACAACTTCTGTCTAATTAGCAGAAGTGGACCCCCTGGGAGCAGCACAAGGATTTGGGCTCTTTCCCATAAACGTGCCTTGCAAAATTCCATCTGCTTTCCCAAAACCTTGCAGTGACCTGGGAGCAACACGTGTGTCACAGCTGACAGTGCTCAAACTCCTCCTGACCACGGCCCATTTGGAGATGCTGTGAGTACACAGGGGACAGGCTGCCAGCAGAATGCAGTGCTGAAATATGCATTCTGCTTGGGAAAGCAGCCAGCTCACCCCTAAATCACAATGCCTTCACCCCACAAGCCGAAAGTTCAGCATTTCTTATTGAGGACCCCCAGACTCGCCTGCTGGCAGTCAGAATTTCACTGTTTGAGTTTTTCAAAGGGACGTTTTAAGTCAGGGCAGTGGCTTGCTTCTGTTTCAGATTGCATTTTAGGATTAGTTCTGCTTTCAAAGGTAAAACAAAAGCATGTGGAATGTCACTGAGAAACCTGGGGAGCACCTTTGTCTGCGGGGATGCGTGGGTTTGGGGAAGGTTTTGCAGAGCAATCCCAGTCACACTGAGATGTGCTATGTGCAACCTGAGCTGATGCACATCGAGAAACGGAGTTTTTCTCCCTTTTCTCTGCAGCAAACTGCCCCGAGCTGCTGCCTGCTGCCTCTGCCAGGAGGGCCGTGCTGCTATGGCACTGTGCAGGAGCATCCACTCCCACAGCAAGGAGCTGTGTGCCAGCACCCCGCAGTGCGGTAGGCTCCCAGCACCACATCCTACTGGTGGTGGGCTTCTCAGTGCCACCTGATCTCCCCCGGCTTTGGGAGATGCTGTAGTGTGGCTGTGTTGTGTGAGTTCCCTCCTAGGCAATCCCATGGGCACCAAACATGGGTTAACAACACAGCTTGAGGAGCTCTGTCTGTGCAAAGCCTTTAATTGCCCCCACGTGGCTCTGATGAGAGCTGGGACGTCTGAATGTGCGCCCCCCCCCCCCCCCCCCCCCCCCCCCCCCGAGCCAGGGGCACAAAATCCTCCCTTTGGAGAACAATGCTTGGAAACAAAAACAAGGGCTGAAAACACACAGTTGCACCAATCTGCTGCCAGGGGCTATCTGGAGGAGAAGTGCCTTGCAGGGCTGAGCAAACACCCCAGCCTCCAACACACACAGAGCACTCAGCCAAGGAAACCGTGTGTGCCCAGTGCTGTTCCCAAGCAGGGGAAGCACAGCCTGCTCACAAGCCCCACACATTCCCCCCAAACCTCCCCAGTGTCACCACAGCATGGCTTGCCACAGCCCTACCAACAGACAGAGCGGTGCTCTGAGGCACCAGGTAACTCATTTGTTAGCAGGATGAGGACAAGCAAACTTCATTGCATGGCCAGGGCATCTTCACACGTCCCATTTCTCATCACCTGCACAGCAGAAAGGCCCCAACACCTCCGTAATCCGTAATGCTCCCAACCACATCGCTCTGTCCCGGCACCAATGGAGCTGTGGCTGTGTGTGCAGCCTCAGTGCAGGGCTGGGAGATGCTCCCCACTGCAGGCTGTGTGTTCCCTTTGCATCAGTGCTCTCCTGGACTCTGCATCACCCCAACCATCCGCTCTGCCCTGATGTGTTCTCCTGGTGTTGCAGCTCACACGGAACCCCCAGCAGAGATGCAAGCAGAACTGAGGAGAGCAGCGCAGCACGGCATGGTGCTACACCTCAACCTCACCAATTCTTCACTTGGAGACAAAGAAACTGTAACACTTAATGTTCTCCTGAGCCCTCACAGTGCTGATGGGGTCCTCAGGAACTTCAATAATCACATCACCAGAATGAGCTCCCATTCCCCTCAGCACCCAGGCAAGCAGGAGCTGCACAGTGCTCTGCGTAAGGGCCGGGAGAGTGGGAATGGGGGGAGAAAACTCCATTTCCCAGCAATAGAGCTGAAGGAGGAGCAGCAAAGCACCGCCTCACAGCTGCCAAGACCTGCAGCACACAAGGTCCTGGAAGCAAAGGAAGGAGCCCACGTCCCCAGGGAGCCCAGCAGCGCAGGCAGCACAGAGGATGAGGATGCAGCAATGGAAGGAGACCTCTTTGAAAGAGGAGTGGAGCACCGCCTGCGCTCGCTGGTCCCCAACGGAGCCCTGCGGGGTTTCATCGCCCGCGTGGCACGAGCTGTGAGGAAGGACTGCCAACTGCCCCACCTGCAGCCCTCCTGCACGAAGCTGCTGGCACAGACAGGGCAGCTGGTGGGGCTGCTGGGCAGGCAGAGACCCACAGTGCAGTGCCCACTGCAATGGGTGAACAGCTCCATTGGCACAGAGAGCAGGAACCGGACTGGGGAGGTAGGGCAGAGCCAATGGGATCCTGTGGGGTTGGAAATGGGATCCTTTGGGATGGAAATGGGATCCTGTGGGGGTAGAAATTGATCCTGTGGGGGTGGCAGTGGGAGGGCTGCTCTCTCTCTGTGATTTGCTCTCTTTTTGTCCCAGAGGACGGCAGCACGCAGCTCCAGCAGGCGGGTCCTCCTGGCGGTGTCGGTGTCTCTCATCATCACCACTTACATCACAGCCATTTGTCTCATCGAGGTGGGCATGGAGAGGATCCCAGCTAAGCATGAGGGGCAGAGTGCACATCTGTCCTCCCTGTAGCATCCATGGGCATAGTGGGGGATGTGGGGCTGACATCCCACCCTGCACAGCTCAGTTGGCCATGCCCCATCTGGAGCTGCGCTTCTCAGCTTTCCTTTCCCAACTCCTTTGGGGATGTCATCACAGCCCCACATCTCTCCAGCCCCACACCTGCCCAGCCCCACATCTACCCACCCCCACATCTCCCCAGCCCCACCGCCCCCCCTGCCATGCTTTCCTCTGCCGCTGCCCCAGCACTGATTGCAGCAGCCCCTTGCTCCCCTCACAGAGTGCAGCACATGCCCACATGTCAGCCCCGTTTTGCAGCACATCCTGACGTTGGGCTCCTCTCTCCTCAACACCCAGGTCTGCTGCCCCAAACCCACAGCTGCCTCCCAGCCCCACAGCACCAGCAAGTCACGGTGGAGACGGTAATTAATTCATTACCCCCTGCGCTCCAAACTGACCCAGTGCATCAGCCCACATTCTGGGCCTGTTTATGATGGATAGATGAACCTGAGCCTCCACTTTTTATCCTTTCTCTCCCTTTTTTTCAGGTTCTTTAAGAAGCTGTTGCCACACCGATGGCGCAGGAACGATGGGGCACAGGTGATGGCAATGTGCTGTGCCCCACAGCTGCCCCACAGCTGCACCCACACTGACATGTCCCATTCCCCACTGCTTCCCAGGGATTGCACTTTGCAGAGCGCATGAAGGACGAACCCAAGTGGCTCCGAGATCTCTACATGCCCCTGGATGACCTGCAGAGGAACTCCATCTATCAGCTGTACCGAGAGCCTGAGGAGGAGGAGGAGGAGGAGGTGTTCAGCAGGGCTAAACCAACGTAAGATGCGATGGTGGCCACATCTGTCACCCAGCACCACCACGAGCAAACGTGCTCCATCTTCCTGCTGCCCCTCATCCCCACAGGATGCCCGAGGAGCAGCACAGCCCCAGCACCTCCGCCCCATAAGGCCCAGGAGGTACAGCAGGATGGGAGCAGTGAGCCCTGGATGGCTCCGGGAGCAGCACAGCCCAGCATGGGATGATCTGCTATTGACTGGCATGGATGCTCTGCTCCTGCAGAGCTGGGTTTGCTATTAAAGGCTGTAGGGCGTTCTGCCACGTGTGTGTGTGCGTGTGGGCGTGCATGTGAGTGTGTGGATGTGCTTGGTGTGCAGCTCTGGGGGGGTTGCATGGTGCAGGGTGTGTGTCTGCATGCAGACCTGGGGGTGTGCATATGGGTGGGGGGGCACACATGTGGGTGTGTGTGCACATATGTGGGTGTGCACATATATGTGTATGTGCACATGTGGGTGTGTGTGTGCACATATGGGGGTGTGTGTACATATGAGTGTGTGTGCTAATGTGGGTGTGTATGTGCACATATGAGTGTGTGTGTACATATGTGGGTGTGTGTGCATATCTGTGTGTGTGTACTATGTGTGTGTGTGTGCCCATATGGGTGTGTATGTGCACATGTGGGGGTGTGTGCACATATGTGGGTGTGTGCTAATGTGGGTGTGTATGTGCACTATGTGTGTGTGTGTGCTCATATGGGTGTGTGTGCACATATGTGGGTGTGTGTGCATATATGTGGGTGTGCACTGTGTGTGTGTGCACATATAGGGGTGTGTGCTCATATGGGTGTATGTGCACATATGTGTGTGTGCACATATGAGTGTGTGTGCACATGTGTGTGTACACATATGCATGTGTGTGCACATATGTGTGTGTGTGCACATATGAGTGTGTGTGCTCATATGGGTACGTGTGTGGGGCAGTGTGTGTGTGTCTGCATCTGAGTAGATGTGTGGATCCATGTATGTGGACATATGGGCACATATGTAGGTCTGTGTGCACACATGGACACGTGTGGGTCTGTGTGTGCCCATATGGGTACATATGTGGATGTGAATGTGCCCACACGGGCACATGTGTGGGTCTGCGTGTGTTGACATTTGGGTACACGTGTGGGTTTGTGTGTGTGCACATATGGACACATACGTGGTCTGTGTGTGCACGTATGGATACATATGCTGGTCTGTACATGTGTGGGTCTGTGTGCCCACATACGGGGATGTATGTATGTGTGTGTGTATGCAGGTGTGTATGTATATGAGTATGTGTGTGTATGTATGTATGTATGTGTGTATGCATGTGTGTATATGTGTATGTGTGTGTATGTGTGTATATATGTATGTATGTGTATGTGTGCATGTGTGTGTATGTATGTGTGTATATATGTATGTATGTATGTGTGCATATATGTACTATGTGTACATATATGTACGTGTGTATATATGTGTACATGTGTGTACGTACGCGTGCCCGCGCACACCCAGCTCTGTATCCCCACTCCTGCCGCCCCGCCCCCACGTGCACGCTCCCCCAATCACGCGCATTCGCCGCACGTCACTCAGCGCGTGGCCCCGCCCCCAACCCCGCGCGGTGGGCGTGGTCTCTGCCTCTCGGTCCCGCCCCCTTTGCGTAATGACGTCACGAGGAGGCGGGGCGCGCGGCCGCCACTTCCGGGTTTCCCGGCCGGGTCGCGCAGGCGGTGAGCGGCAGCGGCGGGCGGGGCCGCGCGGGGGGAGCGGGCCGGGATCGGGGCCGCGCCGCCCGAACCTCAGCGCCGCCGGGCCGAGCCGCGGAGCGGGGCCTGGAGGCGGAGGCCCGGCAGGAGGAGAGCTGCGGGGCCGTGCGGGGCTGATACGGGCCTCGCGAGCCGTAGTTTGCGGCGGCAGCGGGGCTGGTGCGGCTCCGACGGGCCGCTGCCTGCGGTGGGGCCGCTGCGGGCCCCGTGCGCCCGTTGCTCGCAGTGCGGCTGCTGCGGGCCCCGGGCTGGTTCCGAGCTCGTGCCCCGCAGGCGCCGTGCCCTCCGCTGGGGCCGCGTTGGCCTCCCGCCCCTCGGTTCCCACGCCCCCCAGCGGGGCTGGTGTTGTTCCACGCCGTGCCCCGTTCCCTCGCTGTGGTGAATTCTGCTCTTCCTGCCCCGCTCACGGCTTGCCGGGCGCTGGGCAGCCGTGAGGAGCTGCGCTCCGTGCTCTCAGTGCCGCCCTCCCCAGCTGCGGTGCCTCGTCCGAATGGCCGCCGCCTCCCGTCGCTCTGACACAGCCCTGAGGAACGCCGTCCTGCCGCCAAAGGCTCGGCTCAGAACGTTGTAGGGCAGCGTTCAGCCCCACGGCGGTTTGACATCAGCGCATCGCTCTGTGGGGAGCAGGGCGGCGTTGGGAAGCAGGTGGGATCAGAGCTGAGGTCCCACAGCTGTGAGCTCCGTGTGGGTGCAGATCCACACACGTGCTCTCCTCCATCCCAGCTCAGCTCAGCCCGTCCCAGCAGGGCTCTGGGGAGGTGATGAGCAGCGCTGCGCTCGTGCTTGGAAAATGAGTCGTTCCCTTTGCAGCCCTGACTCACTGACCCCGCACTGCTCGTGTTTTCCACCTGCAATGTGCTGCTGGTCAGGAGCTGTTTGTAACTCACTGGGAGAGCGCAGAGCTCAGGCACGGAGCTGACATCCCAACCCAGAGACCCACTGTGAGCACGCAGCTCTGCTTCCTCGCTGGGTAACCGCGCCGCTCGCTTTCTGTTTTATTTCTCTGTCACCTCGAGCTGTTTTGCTCTGCGTCGCTCTCAGGGTGGGGACTGCAGGGAGGCAGCACCGATTCTCAGCTGTGAGTTCAAACCTCCACCCCACACGGTGTGCGTGGCAGGGCGAAAGCAGCAGCGCTTTCCACAGTGCTGCACCCCTCAGGGAGGAGCAGCCCCACGTCCTGTGGCTGAGCTCACAGTGCTGGAGCAGACAGGTCGGGCTGGTTGTGCTGCTGGGAGCTGAGCTCCATCCTACGCCAACCACCAGCTCTGCAGAGCTGCTGCTGTCACTGCTCAGTGGGGACAGCAGGGTGGGCGATGCCGGGTGCACTGCTGTCACCTCGTGGCCCCACAGAAGGGCGGTGTGGGGTTCCGCAAGTGCTGCGCTCCCATCGGTCAGTGTTGCAACCCCAGGGGGAAATCTCGTGATGAGCAGTGGTGAAAACGGTTTCTTTTTCTATAAGATCAGCTGTTGAACTGTGACTGTTGTGGGGTTGGTCATCAGGGGGCTGCATGGGGCTGTTCCGGCTTTGATTCAGGGTTCTTGCTTGGGATTTGAGGTTCTTCCTTTGGATTTGGGGTTCCTGCTTGAGATTTGGGGGGTTTTTCATGGAGTTTGGGGTTCTTGCTTGGGATTTGGAGGTGTTGCTTGGGCTTTGGGGTTCTTTCCTGGGATTTAGGGTTCTTGCTTGGGATCTGAGGCTCTTCCTTGGGACTTGGAGTTGTTGTCTGGGATTTGGGGTTCTTCCTTTGAATTTGAGGTTCTTCCCTGGGATTTGATGTTCTTACTTGGGGTTTGGGATGCTCGGGGTTTGGGCCACCCCCACGACTGCCCTTTGCTGTGTGAGCCGATGGGGTGGGAGCACACAGGCGTACCAAAGCCCTGCTGGGCTCTGCCCTCTGCTTTCACAGAGCAAAGCCACAGCAAGCGCTCCCACATCGGGGGAAGGTTTCCTCTCCGAGCTCTGTGGCTCTTAGCAGTGCTTTGTGGCAGTGGCTGCTGCTGGAGCTGCCCGTGGGCCTGGAGGCAGATGAGTGGGGATGGATCTGAGCTGGGGGCAGCTGTGCTGCATTGCTCCCATGCCTCCGGGCACAGCAGGGGAAAATCCAGATGCTTTGTGGGGTTTCTGTGCTGCCAGGAGTGGGGCAGTGCTATAGTGTCTGTCCTCCCCCAGTTTGCAGCAGCTGCAAACTGCACTGTAAGCTCCAAAGTGGCCTCTGTGTGACTTGACACTGCTGTGTGACCCACAGGTGACATGTGACCACGGGTGGGAGCAGCAGCTGAGATGCATTCGAGCCACGCCGATGACCCCAAGGAAGTCATCCAGGTGAGCTGTGCTCCCGGCCCTCCGACACGCACCAGGTACCCACAGGCACTGCTGGGACGTGGTGATGCTCTCGGGTGGTTCTCACACCCCTCTGTAGCTGCATGTGGGATGCACAAACCCTGCAGGATGTGGGCACGGTGCTCAGCCCCACTGCTGGGGGTGCAGCAGTGCTGTGTGCACCTCATTTGCCCTGCAGCAGTGCTCCACGCATGGCACACAGCTTTGTTTGCACTCTGTCACTGCATTAGCCTGACAGATCAGGGGCAGCTGGGGAGCATGGGGCTGCACAGCACGGCTTGGGCACGTGGCCTTCAGCTATGGCTGCAAACCTCACTTGGGTGCTGGCAAAACATTCAGGGCTGAGAATTCAGTGCAAGAAAACATTCAGCTGGGAAAGGCAGCGCTTTGCTGTCTGTAGAAGTGTTGTGCACTGTAAAACCCCAAAAACCCAATGAGCCCCAAAACATGAGCTATGGGAAGGGCAGTTGGCATCCGTGACTCATTTACAAAAGCCAGGTGAACTCTGATGCCAAGAGAGTGAGTCCACAGCTCGACCGGGTCAGCTGCAGTGCTCATTGGCAGCATCTGCAGAGCACGTGGGTTGGGCAGGAACTGCACAGAGCTCTGGATGAGCTTGGCAGCTTGGCATCCCCATAGTTTGCAGCCCAGTATCTCAGTTGCTGGCAGCTTGGCATCCTCGTCACTTGCAGCCCTGCATCCCAGATGCCTGCAGCCCTGCATCCTGGTAGCTTGCAGCTCAGTTTCTTTGTTGCTTGCAGCCCAGCATCCCAGTTGCTTGCAGCTCAGCATCCCAGAACCTTCAGCCCAGCACCCTGTTGCTTGCAGCTTGGCTTCCCCATAGCTTGCAGCCCTACATCCCAGTTGCTTGCAGCCCTACATCCCAGTTGCTTGCAGTCCAGAACCCTCGTAGATTGCAGTCCAGAACCCTCGTAGATTGCAGTCCAGAACCCTCGTAGATTGCAGCCCAGCTTCCCGGTTGCTTGCAGCCCAGCTTCCCGGTTGCTTGCAGCCCAGCTTCCCAATTGCTTACAGCCCAGTGTCCCCAGATCTTGCAGCCCAGCATCCTGATTGCTTGCAGCCCAGCTTGCCAGTTGCTTGCACCCCAGTTTCTTGCAGCTCAGCATCCCAGTTGCTTGCAACTCGGTGTCCCCATTGCTGCCCTTTTTCCTGACCCTACAATCTAACCCTGCACCTCCCATGCTGCAGCTGATCAAGAAGCAGCTGGTGAGCTCCATCAAGGCCCTGCAGAAGCAGTACGTCTCCTCGGATGCCGTGGTGACCAGCGATGATGGGAACGCCAACACCCTGTGCAGCGCCCTGGAGGCCGTCTTTGTGCACGGGCTGAAAGCAAAGCACATCAGGACAGAGACAGGGGGCAAAGGGAGGAAAGCGGGCGGCCGGCTGCTGCTCCCCCAGCCCGTCTTCTGGGCCCTGCTGAAGAGCATCACGCACCGGTGCGTCCCCACGCTCGTTTTTCTGCCCTCTGGGAGAGTCGGATGGCTGGCAGGGAGCTGCCCACGCTCTGCGCCCTTCAGCTCAAGCCGTGTGACCTCAGAGGTGTTGGGTCCTGAAAGCTGTGCGTAGGAGAGCGTGGTGCTGCTGGGGGGCACCTGGTGGTGTGTGTCCCCAAATGGCATCCCATACACAGAGAGGTCTGAGATCCCCCCTGACCCCATCAGCTGCTGAAGAGCAAATACAGAGTGGATGATGAGAGCACTTTGGTGCTGTGCAGGATGGTTTTGTGCCCTCTGAAGGTGTTTTTCCTCTGCCCCTCAAAAACAACCAACCTATTTTTCCCAGCAGTGAGCTGGGGGCGGGCAGGGTTTGGGGAAAAAGCAGCCAAAATGAGGGCAGTGAGGGTAGCTGGAGCTTCTGTGTTCCTTTTGCCTTACTGTGGCACTCAGATGCATGGTGGACACTGATGGGTGACACCAATGGGTTTTTCACTCCTTTCCCCAAACAGAAGCAGGGGAGATGCCTCCGGCCAGAAGGGCAGCACCCAGGAGTGGCTGAACCTGATATATTTGGTTTAGGAGGAATTCAGGAACTGATGTTTCCCCATAGGAAACCACAACCCATCAGCACCCACCTCCCATAACGCAGCGCTGTGGGCGCGCATCCCTCACATCCCACTCTTTTTTTTCTCTCTCCCCTTCTCCCAGGAACATCATCTCAGAGCTGGAACAGCTCATTTTCATCACCACGGACGTGGGCCGCTGCCGGGCCTGGCTGAGGCTGGCTCTGAACGATGGATTGGTGGAGTGCTACCTGAAGCTGCTGCTGCGCGAGCGCTCCCGCCTGCCCGAGTTCTACCAACCCACGGCGCTGCTCCTGGATGCCGAGGAGTGCGAGTTCCTCCTGAGCTACCTGCAGGGCTTGTCGTCCCTCACCTTCCAGCTGTCCTACAAGTCAGCGGTGCTCAACGAGTGGACCGTCACCCCGCTGTCCCTGTCGGGGCTGTGCCCTGTATCCGAGCTGCTGGAGCCCCCGACGGCCGAACCTCAGAGAAAAGCATCCCTGGGCTCCATCTCCCAATCTTCAGGCTCCGATGAGATTGAAATCCAACCCTCAGCGCTGCCCATCGGCAAAGCAGGCGACAAACCCAAGCGGACGTCGTCCTCACTGAGCCTGAACACCACGGGTTCATCACAGCTGTCCTCCAGCCTGGGCTCTGACAGCGTGCAGCCCCACTGCGCCCGCAGCCCGGAGCGCGGCGATGAGCCGCTGTCCTGTGACTCTGACCTGGGCACGGCCACGGCCGAGGACCTGGACAGGTCGCTGCAAGAGTGAGTCTCCCTCTTCACCTTCATTTTCTCCCTGTAGGCTCTCTCTGTTTAACAGGTTTTCCTCTTGGGAGCAGCCTGAAAGGCGAAAAGAAGCAGCATGACCGTTTCTTTAAGCGTGTTTTGGCCAGAGCTCAGCCTGGGCTCATTAGGAGCTTTGGAGCACTTGAAGCTGACGCTGCTAATTGCTCAGCTGTTTCCCATGACTTAGAGCTCTGCTCTTCCCGTTGCTCACAGCGCTGTCACCTGCTCGTGGTGCTGGGCAGGGATGATAATCCTGGTGCAGAACCCGTGACTCAGTTCTCAGCCTGACCCTGGTTTGGTCTGAGTGGGCTGTGCTGAGCTGGGGCCACGGGAATGCCTGCTAACTGCTGTCAAGAACACGGCTGTTTGGTATCAGCTGGGATCCATTAGCTCACCATTAGCTAATTAAAATCCCCTCACATCATTAGGAAGGGCATCCTTTGCAGGGTCTTTGCCCTGAGGGTGCACCACCCCTCTTTCTGCTTGACCTGCCACCAGCAGAGCGATGCTCACTGCTGCTTCTCTTCAAAGGGTGCTCTCCGAGTTCAGGAAAGCTGAGCCAAGCTTTGGTGCCCCGTCGGAGCAGCTGATCCCAGCCGTGCTGGGCTGCTCCCCACCACCCCCCGAGGACACCCACCCACCACCTTCCCCACCACCAGCTGAGGCCTGCACTGCTCCCCAGGAGGAGGACAGCATCCCGACCCCACAGCACGTGGATGGGGGGAAGGAAGGCCGCGTGGTGCGCAGCCCTGCTGCCAAATTCCTCTGCTCCCCGCTGCCGGGCTGCCCGGTAGGTGTCACAGCTCACAGTCCACAGGATCCTCATGTTATCCTTCCTGATCTAATGGGGAAAGGTGGTGAAGCGGGTGGCAGCGTTGCTGGGCTCGAAGCACTCATCCCCAGAGCTGCCAGCAGCATTTCTGGTGTAAATAATGCCCAAATCCATTCCCAGCATCCCAGATCCCACTGAGCCATCCTGGGGATGCTGGGTCTGAGCAGACACCCCCCAGCTCAATGAGTGCCCATGTGCTGGGGATGCACTTCCCACCCCCCTGAGCATCTCTCCCTTGGGTCCACGTTCCTTTGGCTCCTTCCCAGCTCGCCCGTCTCCTCCACTTCCTCCTGGCTTGGGGCCAGCCTGACTAATCTATGGATAACATACGGTGTCAACAGGAAATCCCCTCCTGCTCTGACATGGCTCACAGAGCAACCTGCATTCCTCAGCCCAGGGTAAACAGGGCCTTCCCGCACCTCCCGCTCTTCGCTGCTGATTCCCACCGTGGTTTTGTTTGTGGTTGGGATAAAATGCTCTTGGCAGGCAAAGGAGGGTCAGTCCTGGTGGGAACCAGTGTGGGTGCTGCAGGGCTGCACTCCTCCTCCTGAGCCCCTCTGCGGTTTAGGGGGTGAGAAGCAACCCGAGTGTGTTTTTGTGCTTTCAAATCCCACCAGTCCTTTGCAGCTGAACCCTGTTGCACTTTGCTCTACCCCAGCAAAACCAGAAAGTGGCGTGGAGAGGAGGGCCAGGCAGCAGCCGGGTTTATCAGGAAGATAGAATCATAGAGTCAGTAAGATTGGAAAAGGCCTCTAATATCCAACCATCAGCCCATCCCCACCTAGCCTGCTAAACCACGTCCCCAAACAGAACTGTGAAGGTTGGACAAGCCCTCCAAGATCCCCGAGTCCAACCCCAGCCCATCCCCACCGTGCCCACTTATAGAATCATTCGGGATGGAAAAGACAGTTGGATTTGATGATCTTGGAGGTCTTTTCCAACCTGAATGATTCTGTAGTGGGGATGGGTTGGGGTTGGACTCAGGGATCTTGGAGGTGCACCCATCCCACCATGCTCATTCATTGAATCTTTAAATTTGGAAAAGACCTCCAAGATCCTCCAAGTCCAACCCCAATCCACCCCACTACGTCCACATGTGGAATCATTCAGGCTGAAGAAGACCTCCAACATCTCTAAGTCCAACCATCCACCCAAGTCCTTCCCCCCATGCCTGCCAAATCGTGCCCCCATGTGCCACATCTTCACATCTCATGTCCCTGCTCTGCAGCACACAGCCTGGATGTGCCCAAGCAGCCCAGATGGCTGCACTGCGTGTGTGCACAGGCTCACGGTGGATGTGTGTGTTTGAGTTGGTTGATGGATATTTGCTTCCGTTGCATCTTTTTTATAACAGAATAGGAAGAGCTGGATCTCAGAAGACGATTTCTACAGACCTTCAGCAGGAGAGAGCGATGAAATCCCAGCTGATGCCAACGGCTTTGTGCCAGATGGGGCTGGGGAGGGCCTGACCTCAGGGCTGCTCAGTGCTTTGGATTTGGAAAGGCCATCCCCACCATCCTCGCAGGGCCCCAGGCTGTCCCCCGAGCGAGAGCAGAAGGGTTTCAGCGTTGTGCATCGCCGGCAGATGGGTACGTGTGCCCCATGGCCCTGTGGGACCAGTGGGGAATCAGTCACCCATTTGGGATCAGCACGTTGCTGAGTGCTGGCAGTGCTGAAAGCCCCACAGGTGGTGCTTCCGTGGCACTGCTGAGCCCAGGGGGCACTGCTGGGACACACAAGAGAGAATGGGATGCAGCACAGATTTCCTTTACACCCTCCTTCTCATCCTTAGCCTCAATACCAAGTGCATATGGACCGTTACGGGGCCCAGCAAGCCGGTCCTGCACACTCCTGCCCTTCCGTTATTCCACTGGGATACCTTTCCATTTTCCACCAGGATCCCTATCCTATATTCCACTGGGATCCCCATCTCAGATTCCACGAGGGTCTGCTCCCTGTCTCATATTCCACTGGGATCTGTTCCCCATCCCATATTCCACCGGGATCCCCATCCCATCTCCCATCAGGAACCCCATCCCATATTCCACCAAAGCCTCGGTGCCTGTGCTTGCACACTGTGAGCCACCTCCTGGTTCTCCTCCCCAGCTTCAGGTCCCTCTGAGCCATCCCCTTTTCCCCCAAGGTCTCTCCAACCCTTTTCGGGGACTGCTGAAGCTGGGCAGCCTGGAGCGGCGCGGAGCCATGGGCATCTGGAAGGAGTTCTCCTGTGAGCTGTCGCCGCTGGAGCTGCGGCTCTTCCTGGACCACGAGGACCGCATCTGCGTGGAGAGCTTTTCCCTGCTGCGCTGCGAGTCGCTGGCGCTGACGCATTCGGATGGACGCTTCGAGCTGGTGTTCCTGGGGAAGAAGCTCTGCTTGAGGGCTCCTTCCCGGGACGAGGCTGAGGACTGGCTGGATCGGATCCGCGAGGCGCTGCGCAAGTGCCGCCCGCAGCTGGAGGAGGAGGAGTGGGAGACGCTGGAGTACTCCGAGGATGGTGGGGATGGCTGCGAGCCCTCTGCTCCACTCCAGTATGAAGCACCTGGGAACGGCTTGGACTGGACTTTATCCCACAAACCAGAGCTGGATGCCATCAAGGAGTCCGTTCTGTATGCGGACGTAGATAAGACGTGGGTCCCTTTTATATTTTCCCTCTCGTTGGAAACCTTAAAGTGCTTTAAAGTGCGGAACAACGACAAAATCTTAAGCAACAGTTATGGCATAGAGACGATCCAGGACATCCTCCCCGACACCAGCCTGGGGGGACCCTCCTTCTTCAAGGTGATCACCTCCAAAGCCGTGCTGAAACTGCGGGCTGAGAGCGCGCAGGAGGCGGCGGCGTGGAGGGAGCTGGTGCGAGCGGTGCTGGGCTCCTACCTGGAGGCAGCCGAGGAGGCACTGACCCTGGGGGGCAGCTTGGATGGCCATTCCCAGGTGCTGCTGAAGAGCATGGTGAAGGAGAACGGCTTCTTGTTGCAGTACCTGGTGGCCATCCCCGTGGAGAAGGGGTTGGACTCACAGAGCTTCATCTGCGCAGGTAGATGGGGCTGGTTTGCAGTGAGGAACCCAGCTCTGCGTCGTGTTCATTCAGGTTAATGAGGTTATGGTGTAGCCCCTCTGTTGGGCCTCGGCCCCAAATTTTGTGGTGTCTTTGGCACGGGGAGAATCCCCCAGCACCCAATCTCCATCCCCATCCCACCCAGCACATCAAACCACTCTCTGCTGCGTTGCTGCCCAAGAGATTTACAGCGTAGGCAAAAGATTGGCTCTAAGCAACCTCATGTGGAGCTGATGGACCCCCATCATGGGCGTCCAGTGCCCCCAGCCCACAGGGAAGGCACGCTGAAGGCAAGCCCATGGAGCAGGGCAGTTTTTCCAGTAAGGCTGCTCTGGGTGTGAGCAGCTGGTTGGTGCAGCGCTCGCTCGACCTTCCAGCAACGCCTCCTGGTTTAATAGCACAACACCCACTGACCTCTCTGGGAGCTATAATTTGTGCTGTACCTCGCTAGGATAATTAAGCTTCAGCTTTTCTCTTGCTTCAGTTGTGTTTCTCATCCCCTCCAGCAGGTTCTTCCTTAATCTTTTTTTCCATATTTTCCATTTTTTGGTCTCTGCCTTCCCCCCAGGCTGTGTCCTTTCACCTACCAACAGAGGGAAGCAGCAAGTTGAGGAGACCCATCTTCCTTCCCCATTTCTTTGTTTTGCTTTTCCTTAGGTATCTGCTGCCTTCCAGCCCTGACACCTGTTAGGACAGGAGTGCTTTCCCAGTGTGCCAGGGTAGAACAAGAAATATAGGCTTCTTTGTTTGATAGTCAACACCCGAGCTCCATAAAATGTTGGCAGTGCACTCCAGAGTGCAAAGAAGTGGATGTGGGTGATGGGGTGGCCTTGGCTCTTCCTGGGGCAGACACAGACCCACCGATGCTGTGTTGGTTGTTTTAGAGAAGTGAACCCAGTAAAAATAGCACCCAGAGTTCTCCTGTCTTCACGACTCCATTCAGATGGAACAACTGTCAGAGCAGTGTAGCTCTCCCCTGGGAGCTGAGCCAGATTCCCCCAGGCTGCACCCCTCAGTTTTTGCTTCTCCCATCCCCAGGTGATGGAGTGGGCAGGTGGGATGTATGTTGTGCCCTACACTGCTGTGATGTTCTAAGAGAAGGGCAGGGGGGAATAAACAAACACTTTAAATCCATTGAGTCATAGAATGGCACAGCCTGGAAGGAACCTCAAAGATCATAGAACCGTGGAATTGTTGGGTTAAGCAGGGTTGGATTGGAAGGACCTTCAGGATTGTAGGGCCGTGGAATCACAGCACAGCTATGTTGAAGGGACCTCAAAGATCATAGAACCACGGAATCACGGCATGGTTGGGTTGGAAGGGACCCTAAGGATCACAGAATCATGGAATGGTTCGGTTGTGTTGAGTAGGGTTGGGTTGGGCTGAGTAGAGGTGGGTTGGAAAAGACCTTAAGAATCGTAGAGCCATGGAATGATTGAATTGGGTTGAGTAGGATTGGGTTGGGGAGGACCTTAAAGATCATCTAAATAATTTATGGATTAAAACCAGGGTTCAGGAATGGTCACGATGCCTTGTGTGTGGAGTTGGTCTGTCACGGTCTAACTGACCGGAACATGCTTTACCCCATGTCCACCCCCTTCCCAGGTTTTCCTGCCCCACGTCTGACCCCACATCCTCCCCCCAGGTCACGGGGTCCCCTCTTACTTCCTCTTCTCTGTTCCCCAAAGGCTGCTCCAGGCAGATCGGCTTCTCCTTCGCCAAACCCAAACTCTGTGCCTACTCTGGGCTCTACTACTGCGACAGCTGCCACCGGGACGACGAGGTGGTCATCCCCTCACGCCTCATCCACAACTGGGACCTGAGCAAGAGAGGGGTGAGAAGGATGGAGCCGTGTCTGGGGGTGGTCCTGGAGGTCCCTCTGGGTGGCTCTCACCCTCTCTCTCCTGTAGGTTTGCCGTCAGGCGCTGAAGTTCCTCACCCAGATCCGTAAGCAGCCGCTGATTGATCTCAAGTTGGTCAATGAGAGCCTCTATGACCACGTGGAGAGGATGAGGCGCATCCGTCGGAGCCGGGAGCAGCTGAAGCTGCTGGGGGATTACCTGAGCGTGTGCCGCAGCGGGGCCCTGAAGGAGCTGAGCAAACGGTCAGCAGCCCAGTGCGTCCTGCTGGGTGCCACCTTGCCCCATCTGTCGCCGTGGTGGGGTTGAAAGGGACCTCAGAGGTTGTGGAATTATGGAATCGCGGCACAGTTGGGTTAGAAGGGACCTTAAAGATGGAAGAGCCATAGAATCAGAGCATGGTTGGGTTGGAAGGGACCTCAAAGATGGCAGAATCATGGAATCATGGCACAGTTGGGTTTGAAGAGACCTCAGAGATCACAGAATCATAGAACTTCCTCCCCGCATCCAAGCCCAGCTCCCCCTTCAGTTAGAAGCCGTGCCCCCCTGTCCTGCCTCCACCAAACCACGCCATTTCTGAGCCCCCCAAGCACTGGCAGCTGTTCCCATGGGATGTGGGCCGGTTTTCCCCTCCATGTCATCTGCTGGAGGAAGCTCCCCGTGTGTCCGTGGGGCGGCGCCTGGAGATGGGCCGGAGGAAGCGCTTTCCTGGCCGGGGCTGGACAGGAAACACCTGGGCAAACAGATGAGAGATTTCTTTTCCCCCTTTTGAAATGCTCCCAAACAATTTTCAATGGCAGGATCTGCGATGCGTTGCTTGGCGCGGTGTCAGGTTTACAGTCACCCGGAGCCTTCATCCCCTGGGCTCTTCCTCACCCCTCCAAGATGTGGGAAGCTCCCACCGAGCTCCTCTGTCCTTTTTTGCAGCCTCGACCACAGGAACTACCTCCTGGAGTGCCCCCACAAGTACAGCGTGGCCGACCTGCAGCAGGTGAGCAGCCCTGCTGTGATGGAGGTGCATCCGTGGAGGGGCTGCATCGAGTGGGGCCATCCTCCAGCAGCTGGTTTCACACCGCTCCGTTCCTCTTCGCTTTGCTTCCTGTCATCACCACAGCCTGGGGGCTAAAATCATGGGGGTGGGGTGGAGTGGGATGGGATGGGATTGGGGTGGGGTTGGGTTGGGTTGGGTTGAGGTGGGATGGTGTTGAGATGGGATGGGATTGGGATGGGATGGGTGGAATCGAGGAGTTGGATTGGAGTGGGATGGGGTGGGTTGGAATAGGATGGGGTGGGATGGGATGGAATTGGGAATGGGGTGGGATAGGGTTGGGATGGGATTGGTTGGGCTGGGATTAAGGTGGCTGGGGTTGGGTTGTGTTGAGGTGGGATGGGATTGAGATGGGATGGGGTTGGGATGGGAAGGGATGGGATGGGTGGAATTGAGGAGTTGGATTGGAGTGGGATGGGATGGAAGTGGGATGGGGTGAGTTGAAATGGGGTGGATTGGAATGGGATGGGAAGGGGGTGGGATTAAGGTGGCTGGGGGTGGGGTTGTGTTGAGGTGAGATGGGGTTGGGATGGGATGGGTGGAGTTGAGGGGTTGGATTGGAGTGGGGTAGATTGAGTGGGGTTGGAATGGGATGGAATGGGATGGGTTGTTGGATGGGGTTGTGTTGGGATTGGTTAGGGTAGGTTGGGATGGAATGGGTTGAGTGGGAATGGGATGAGATGGGATTGGGTTGGGATGGGTAGTGGGATGGGATTGAGTTGGGTTGGGATTTTTTGGGATGGTGTTGAGGTGGGATGGTGTTGGGATGGAATGGATTGGGGTGGGTTGAGTGGTGTGGGGATGGAATTAGTTGGGATGGGATGGGGTTGGGATGGAATTGGGATGGGTGGAGTTGAGAGGGATTTGGATGGGATTGGGTTGGGGTGGGTTAGACTGGAGTGGGTTGGGGTGAATGGGATGGGTTGATGGGTTGAAGGGGACCTCGTGCTCCAAGAGCTCCAGGAGAATCATTTCACCCCCGTGTGACCCAGCGCTGCTGCACCGCACAGAACTGTGCCCCAAATGGCACTCAGTGCGTTCTGCAGCCGGGTGTCACCGACCCCAGAGCCGTGGGCCCCATGCGGGCACACGGGGCTGCGGTGGCCCTGGAGGACGTTTTGTCTGCAAATCACAACCCAGCCGTGCCCTGCAGATCTCTGACGGCGCCTTCGAGCCCTTCCTGCTCTCACTGATCCAGTTTGCATCGCACCACGTCTACAGCTGCGACCTGTGCACGCAGCAGGGCTTCATCTGCCAGATCTGCAGCAGCAGTGACATCATCTTCCCCTTCCAGCTGGACTCCACTTCCAGGTGGGCTTTGCCAGCGGCGCTGAGCGCGGCGTGCAGGACGGCTGCACTCCATGGTGCAGTGCAGAGAGGAGCTCAGCCAGCAGTGCTGCTCTGCTTGTCTGCTCAGCCCTCGCTCCGTGGGTCGCATTTTGGCATTCTGGCACTGCTGGGGTTTGGGGCAGCCCGGGTTGGGGGCTCTCGCTCTGGAAATGGGGCTGAGGAGCACCCAGCCCTGCAGGCACCCAAACCATGGTGGGGTTTTTTGGTTTTTTTTTTTTTCCCCAGGTGCAAAGACTGCAAAACTGTTTTCCACCGGCAGTGCTACGACAGCTCCACATCCTGCCCGCGCTGCGAGCGCCGGCGGCGCTACCGACAGGAACAGGAGGAGAAGGAGGAAGAGGAGGAGGAGGAGGAGGAAGGCAGTGCGGGGCCGATCCCATAGAGCCAGCAGCCATCCCAAAGGAGGTGGCAGATGATGTCCCCACGGGCCCCAAAAGCACCGGGACGTGGTGCACAATGAGATGTCAGCCCAGCAGCTGTCAGGCAGCGCAGCGGGGTCTGGGCCTGCACCCAAAGACCCTACAGCCAATGGGGGATGGACAAGCAGGGGGGCTGTGGGGCTGAGCTGGGGCCGTGGGGCTGCAGCCATCCCCTGCCACCACCCCACTGATGGGGACACGGTGGCACTGGGCGGGTTTTGGTGTCCCCATCCCTGGGGGATATGGGGATATGGGGACAGGGACTCTGCAGTCCCCATCCTTTTGGGGTTTCTGCGTCCCCATCCCTTTGGGGTTTTGGTCTCTCCATCCCAGGGGGGCAACAAGGGGACATGGGGGCGGGGACTCCCCACATTATGGGGTCAGATGTGCCAAGGGGACGCGGGGCTGTGCAATGCCACCCACGGGGATCAGTGCCATCCCCCCACTGCCATCATCCCAGTGTTCCCCAGGTGGCACTGGGGGCTCGCAGGCTGCGCAGTGGGGCGGGCTATGGGGCCAGCTGCTGTCAGTGGGACCCGGACTCGAGGGCTGTGTGAACCGTGCCGGGTGAGCTCGGGGCTTTTGTGGGTTTGGGGTTTTGCAGGGTGCACCGGATGGCACCGTGGTGACGTTGTGCCTTGGGGGGCGGAGCTGCTCTGCCTCCCTTTTAACCCCCAGCCCTTCTGGGGCCGCAAAGAGAGTTTTATTTTCCTGTCACTTCACTGTGAAAATGATGGAGATTTATTTGATGCCACGCGTGGTTCTTCTCTGGGGCCGTCCCTCCCTGGCTCAGAGTGGGGTCGGCACCCACCCCACAGCTCCACCCCACACACTGGGCCATATTGGGAGCCCACGAGGGGACAGACTCCATTGGGGACCCCGGGATCAGTGTCCTCCACCCCTCCGGCCTGCATTCCCCAACCCCTTTCCTTCCCCAGTAGTGGGACTGGGGGTCCCCCCACCCACCCCATAGAACCACCCCACGCTGGAGGATGTGATGGGATCCCCACGAGGGGACAAACCCCATTGGGGACCCCCAGGATCAGTGCCATGAACCCTTCTGTGCTGTGTTCCCCACCGCTCTCCCTCTCCAGCAGTGGGTCTGAGGGTGACCCCATCTACCCCATAGCATCACCCCACACTTGGGACCACAACGGGACCCACACCTGGAGGGGACAAACCCCATTGGAGACCCCCGGGATCGATGCATACCACCCCACTCTTGGGGCCATGCTGGGACCCCACGAGGGGACAAACCCCATTGGAGACCCTGAGGCCCGGTGTCACTCGCCCCTCTCTTCCCCCAGCAGTAGGGTGGGGGTACCTCCATCCACCCACCCCACAGCACCGCCCGGAGCCATAGTGGGACCCCAGGAGAGGACCAGCCCCACTGCAGACCCCCAGGATCAGCATCCTCTGCCCCACAGCACCATCCCACATGCGGGGCCGTGATGGGACAGCAAGAAAGGACAAAACCCCTTGGGGACCTCCATGAAGAGTGCCCCTGCCCCATAGCACCTACATTCCCCTACCTCTCCCTTCCCAGCAGTGGGTCTGGGGGTGCTCCTGCCCACCCCATAGCTCCACCCCGTTCCTGGAGCCATTATGGGACCTCCGGAAGGAACAAACCCCATTGAGCACCTTCAGGATCAATGTCCCCCACAGCACCACCCCGCATTTGGGGCTGTGATCACCCCCCACAAAGGGAGAAACCCCATTGGGGACCATCACGATCGACATACAGACCCCAAGATCCGCGGGCAGAGGAACCCACAAGCAAACGAACCCCATTGAGAAAACCCCACAATCGATGTCCCCCGCCCCACAGCCACGGCGGGGCACCAAGAGGGTCCGAACCACAGCGAGGACCCCACAGCCAGTTCCCCCCTCCCCACAGACCCCAGGGCCGTTGGGTTGGGCCCTTCCTGCCGCAGGAACCCGCCGCATCCCGTCGCCGCCATCGCCCCATCCCTCCCTCCTGGGGAGGAGGAAATAGGTTGGGCCACGGGGCCCCAACGCGGGGCGAGCCGGGACGGGCCCCGTTGTGCCCTATAGGGCCGCCATGGAGGCGGAGGAGGTCTACGTGTTGGTGGAATACGGCTTCGAGTACCGCACCAAGGACGGCACCGTGGTCTCCATCCACCCCAACGAGCGCTACGTGCTTTTGGGGCGCACCAACGAGCACTGGTGGCACGTCCGGAGGAGCGGGGATGCGCGGCCCTTCTACGTCCCCGCTCAGTACGTCAAGGAGCTGCCCCCCATGGCCGCCCCGCAGCCGCTGTACCCCGACGAGATGGGATCCTACAGGTACCCCGCGCTGCGAGTGGAGCCCGACCCCGCAGAGACCTGCAGGAGGCAGCGGGAGGTGCAGGTACGTGGCATCCCGTAAGCGTCCCCAAACTGGCCTTGGTGTGGGGGATCAGCGACCGGCGCTCCGTGGGGCAGAGCCTCAGTGCCCCAACCATGGGGGCGGCGATGGGACGGGGACAGGGATCCCCAGGGTTTGGTGTCCCCATCCCATGGGGTGGGACGGGGCTCCCCAGGGCCTGCAGCCCCCATCCCTCTGGGGTATCTGCGTCCTCATCCCTTTAGGGTTTCTGTGTCCCCATCCCTTTTTGGGTTTCTATGTCTCCATTCCTTTGGGTTTTTTGTGTTCCCATCCCTTTTTGGGTTTCTGTGTCCCCATCCCTTTAGGGCTTCTGTGTCCCCATCCCCTTGGGGTTTCTATGTCTCCATCCCTTTGGGGTTTCTGTGTCTCCATCCCTTTGGGTTTTTTGTATCCCCATCCCTTTTTTGGGTTTCTGTGTCCCCATCCCTTTGGGGTTTTTACGTCCCCATCCCTTTGGGGTTTTGGTCTCTCCATCCCCAGGTGGCACCAGGGGATATAGGGACAGGGACTCCCCACATTTTGGGGTCAGATGTGCCAAGAGGGGACGCGGGACAGGCAATGCTACCCACTGTGTGCAGGATGTGGGGCTGTAGGATCAGTGCTGTGCCATCATCCCAACGTCTCCCAGATGGCACTGGGGGGCTCCCAGGACCACCCCGCAGTGGTTGTGCAGTGGGGCAGGCTATGGGGCAGGCTATGGGGCAGGCTATGGGGCCAGCCGCTGCCCCAGCAGGATGTGTTACCCCTATGTGGCACTGCAGGATGGGACATCAGGGTCCCTCCATCCCGGCGCTGTTATGGGGCAAAAAGAGGCAGAAAAGGGTTAACAGGGAAACGCAGCAGCTCCTCCCTGTAGGGCGGGTGTCACCTGGGGAGGGAGGGGAGCGGGTGGGTGCCACCCCACACGGAGCTCACCCACACCTGTAAGTAAGGAGGGGCCCTTCTGGGGGGTCCTTTATGGGGGGTGGATGTGGGGCTGCTCCCTGATCCCTGTATGGGGCATCCAACACTGGGGGATCTGTATGGGGCATCCAACACTGGGGTCAACCCACCTGTGGGGCACAGCAGTGCAGTGGGGTCTCATGTCCTCCCCGTGGCCCAGCGCCTCTTTGGGATCACCCTTGGACTTAGGGGCAGGAGGGACACATGTCACCACCAGGACCCCAATCCCAACCCTAAACCCAATGCCAACCCCGATCCCAATCTCAACCCCACACGGCACATTCGTGCACCCACGGGCTCAGCCCCACACTCCCAGCCCGTCCCCATTGTCTCAGGATTTGCCATTGGGGTTTTTTCTGTTGTGCACCCCACGTACTGCTGTAGGGCTGTGCTGTGCTATGGGGCAGAGCTGTGGGTTTTTGCCGTCCCCGTGCATTCCTCCCCTTTCCCAAGCACTGCTGGGGCGGTGACATTGCCCAGGTGGGATTTAACCCTTATGGGATATTTCCCAGCCGCAGCCCCACATGCGCAGCCCCACATGCGCAGCCCCTCTGCCCGCCCCACAGCCCTCCCAGGAGGTAATTCCGCATCTGGGGAGCGCTGCTCTTCCGCCCCATAACACCAACAGGAAGCACACAGTGCGCTCAGAGCCACAGCGGGGCCACCCAGCGCCCCGACCCCATAGAGCTCCCCATAGCGCAGCCGTTCCCGCTGGGACATCCCAACCCTCCGGATCCCACTGGGACATCCCAACCTTACAGATCCCATTGGAGCATCCCGACCCCATAGCCCAGCTGGGATGCTGCAGCGATCCCGCAGCCGTGCGTGGCGACCGCTGCAGCAGGGCGAGGTATGGGGTGGGCAGGGGGATGGGGGCAGCTCGCTATGGGGCGGCGTGGGGCAGTATGGGGTGGTGGGGCCGCAGTGAGGAGACTTTGTCCCCATTACCATCGTAGGTCGTAAAGGCGGAGAGCAAAGGGTAACTGTGGGTTGGCTGCCTCTTCCTGCTTGGGGTCACACACCCTATAGGGATGTGTCCCTGCTGGGATGAGGACAGGGGACACCTGGGACCCCGGTGGGGTGTTGTCACCCATGGGGACGCGGGGACAGGAAGCTGTGGGGCAGTTTCGAAGGCTGTAGGATGCAATAGGGCAAAATGGGGAAGAGGCGAGAGTTGGGGTGCACAGAGCATGGGGACGGATCCGGGGGTCCCATCCTCGGTGTGGGGCTCAGGGTGGGTCAGCCTCATAGGAAGCCCCATAAGCAGCCCCATAAGCAGCCCCATAAGCAGCCCCACGCATCTGGGCGGAAACGGGCCGGTTATTTTGGGGTGCGGTGACGGCACCGTCAGCCTCAGAGGGATGCAGAGCGGGGAGTGTGGGTGCGGGAAGTGGGGGGGGGGCTGCAGGGGGAGAGGCTGGGGGGCACAGGGGATGGGGTCAGGTGTTGGGGTGTCGATGGGATGCAGGTGTTGGGGGCAGATTTTGGGGGCCAGGTGTTGGGGTGCAGTCAGTTGTGGGGGGCAGATTTTGGGGTGGGTGAGCTGGATGCTGATGTTGGGGGGCTGATAATGGGGGGCTGATAATGGGGAGTATAAAGGGATGCAGATGGGATGGATGCAGATGTTGGGGTGCAGATGTGAGGCCAGACGTTTGTAGGGGAGCTGATGTTGGGACACGTATGGGATGCTGATGAGTTGGGGGGCTGATGGTGGGATGTGGATCTTGGGGTACTGATGTCGGGGGGCAGATATTTGGGGGGCCGATGTTGTGGTGCCAACATTGGGATGCTGAGGTTGGAGTGAAGATACTGGGGGGCCAATTTTGGGGTGCTGATGTTGAGGGGCCAATGATGGGGGGCAGATGTTGGGGTGCAGATGTGGGGCCAGACATTGGGGGGCAGATTTTGGGGTGCATATGGGATGCCAGTGAGATGGGGTATCGATGTTGGGATGCAGATATGAGGGGGCTGATGTTGGGGTGCAGATCTTGGGGTGGTGATGTTGGGGCACATAAAGGGATGCAGATGTTGGGGTGCTGCTGTTGGGAGGTGGATTTTGGGGTGCAGACGTGGGGCCAGACGTTTGTTGGGGGGCAGATTTTGGGATGCAGATGGGATGCAGATGAGTTGGGGTGCAGAAGTTGGCCTTGGGGTGCAAATATTGGGGGCTGGTGTTGGGGAGCAGATGTTGGGGCAGATGGGTGGGGTGCAAACATTAGGGAGCAGATCTTGGGGTACAGATATTGGGGGGCCGATGTTGGGATGCAGACGTTGGGGTAGCGATGCTGGGGTGCAGTTTTTGGGGTGCAGATGTTGGGGGGCCGACGATGGGGCACATAAAGGGATGCCAATGTGATGGATGCAGATATTGGGGTGCAGACATGGGGCCAGGCGTCTGTTGGGGTGCAACTGCTGGAGTGCAGATTTTGGGGTGCCAATGTTGGGGTGCAGATCTTTGGGTACTGATGTTTGGGGTCGGATGCAGGAGACAGATGTTGTGGGGACAACGATGGGATGAATAAAGGGGTGCAGATGTTGGGATACCCATGTTGGGGTGCCTGTGCTGGGATGCAGACATTGGGACGCAGATATTGGGGTGCAGACATGGGGTCAGATGTTTGTTAGGGGTCTGATGTTGGGACGCACATGGGATGCTGATGAGTTTGGGTGCAGATGTCGGGGTATTGATGTTGGGATGCAGATGTTGGGGGGCTGATGTTGGGGTACCAATGCTGGGGTGCAGATTTTGGGGTCTGATGTTGGGGTGTTGAATTTGGGGTGCAGGTACTGGGGTACCAGCTTTGGGGGGGTGATTTTGAAGTGCCAATGTTGGGATGCAGATATGGGTGGGGAAGTCGGTGTGCAGATGTTGGGGTGCAGCTGTTGGGGTGCCAATGCTGGGGTGCAGATTTTGGGGGCCGATGGTTTGCAAATGGGGTTGTGCAGATGTTGAGATGCTGATGCCGGGGTGCAGAAGTTGGGGATCAATGATGTTGAGGTGCAGATGTTGGGATGGAGACGTTGGGGTAGTGATGTTGGGGTGCAGATTTTTGGGGGCCAATATTGGGGGTCCAGTGTTGGGATGCAGATGTTGATGTTGGGCATCAATGTTGGAAGGCAGATGTTGGGGTAACGAAGCTGTGGGGCAGATGTTGGGGTATTGATGTCTGGGGGCCAGTGATGGGGTGCTGGAGTTGGAGGGCAGATGTTGGAGTGCACATGGGATGCAGCTGTTGGGGTGCTGGTGTTGGGGTGCAGAAAGGTGAGATGCAGATGCTGGGAGGTCACTGTTGGGGTGCTGGTGTTGGGGTGCTGGTGTTGGGGTGCAGAAGGTGAGGGTCAGTGTTGGGGTGCAGATGTGCAGGTGTTGGTGATGTCGGGGGCTGGCGATGGGGCGGGACGCAGATGTTTGGGTGTCAGTGTTGGGGTGCAGCTGTTGGGGTGCAGAATTTGGGATCCAGATGTCGCGGGGCAGACGATGTGGGGGTAATGAAGTTGGGGCGCAGATGTCGGAGTGCTGATGGTGGGGGCGGATGTTGGAGCACAAACGGATGCAGACCTGGGGGACTGATGTTGCGTGGCCGATGTTGGAGGGCTGATATCGGGGTCCCCGGTGCCTGGACCCCCCCAGGCCCCTCGCTGACACCCCCACGTCCCCCCAGGAGCGCCGGGAGCCGGAGGAGCCCTCAGCCCACATCTACCTCAACCTGCAGGAGCTGCAGCGGGAGGCCGCAGCGTGCGGCACGGCCCCGCAGCCCCACAGCCCGCCCCACAGCCCGCCCCACAGCGCCGACTGGGAGACACACCGCGACTCGGAGTCGGGACATTTGTTTTATTACAACCCCAGCACCGGGGAGACGACGTGGGACTGCCCCTTCGAGCAGGAGGAGGATGCTGTGAGTCCCGGCGCGTCCCCCCCGATGTGGGGACGGCAGGAGGAGCGAGGCAGCGGGCGGGCGCTGTCCTACGATTCGGTGACAGGTGAGGGGCCGTGGGACCCACACTGCGTGGGAAGTGGCCCCCGGGATGCCGAGATGGGGATGATGCCCTACAGCCCCGTGGAGCACAGGGTGAGAGCCGGGGGTTGCGATGGGGGCACAATGGGGGAAGAGGGGGGACACAGTGGGGATGCAGTGGGGACACGATGGGGACGCAGTGGGGACACCGTGGAGACAAAGTGGGGGCAAAATGGGGACACGGTGGAGATGAGGTGGGGACATGACACAGTGGGGACACGACGGGGACAAAATGGGAACACAGCGGGGATGTGATGGGGAGATGGTGGGGGTGCAATGGAGACAAGGCAGGGATTCAGTGGGATGCAGTGGGAACACAATGGGGACAAACTGGGGGTGTGAGGGGGACACAGTGGGGATGCAGTAGGAACACAATGAGGACGCAGTGGGGACACAATGTGGGGACACTGGGGTACAGTGAAGATACAAGGGGGACACACTGGGGACACGACGGGGACAAAATGGAGATGCAGTGGGGACTGAATGGGCACCCAGCGGGATTACAGCAGGGACACAACGGGGACACAATGGGGATGCAGTGGGGTTGCAGTGGGGACACTGTGAGGATGCGATGGGGACACAACGGGGACGCAGTGGGGATGTGATGGGAGCACTCTTGGTCACTTCACCATCGCCCACCCTGCAGCCACCCACCCCAGAAGCAGATTACCCCGAGCTGTCCCCAGACGAGCTGGAGGCGTACCCCGAGGAGGACTGCTCACCCCCGGGGTCCTTCCAGTGGGGGGCAGCTCCCTACCCACCCCCCCGGCGGCACCAGGAGCTCACGGTGTCCCCACGGTGGTACGGAGCCCCTGGGGACCAGGAGCAGTACGGCACTGAGACGGTATGGGGTCAGGGACGGGGAAGGAGATGGGGAGGGGATGAAGATGAGGATGAAGGTAAGGATGAGGACAGAATAGCAACAGGGATGGGGATGAGGAGGGGGACAAGAATTGGAACGAGGATGGGGTGGAGTTGGGGGGTGAAAATGGGGAATAGGAATAAGGACAGGGATTGGTATGAGGATGGGGAGGGGTGTGAAAATGGATGAAGATGAGGATGAGGATGGCAACAGGGATAGGGACGAGGATGAGGACAGATGAGGATGGGGATGAAGATGGGGGTAGAGATGAGGATGAGGACAGGGATGAGGATGAAAGGGTAAAGGGTGAGGATGAGGATGGGGATGAGGATGAGGATGGGGAAAAGAACAAGCATAGGGACTGGGATGGTGATGAGGATGAGGATGGGGAAGGGAATGGGGATGGGGATGATGGCTGGTGACTGTCCCCAGGTCCTGGCAGGTGGCCTCCACCAGCGGGCCAGCAGCAGCTCCAGCCAGGACAGCGGGTTGCTCCCATGGCCCGGCGGCACCCCGGTATCACCAGGGATCCGCGAGGAGAAGGTGAGCACCCTGGGGACACCATGGGGACACCATGGGGACACCATGGGGACGGGGGGCACGCAGAGGGCGGGGGGCTCTGCAGGCTGTGGAGGAGGGCAGAGCTGACCCTGTGCCTTCACCTCCAGCTCAAAAGCCTCGACAAGGCTGGTGTGCTCAACAGGACCAAGACGATGGACAGAGGGAAGCGGATACGGTGAGTGTGTCCCCACGTCCCTCCCATGGGGACAGGGGTGGCTGCGCTGCCCCCAGTGTGACCCCTGCCTCCCTCTGACCACAGGAAAAACTGGAGCTCGTCCTGGACGGTGCTGGAGGGTGGAATCCTGACCTTCTTCAAGGACTCCAAGCACTCATCTGCGGGTGCTCTGGTGAGCGCCAGGGGCCACAGGAGGGGCAGCACCCAAGTGGAGAGGGAGAGAACCCATGGGATGGGGTCAGAAGCCATGGGGCAAGTGTAGCACCCAGTAGGAGGGGTAAGGACCTATGGGACGGGGTCAGGACCCAAAGGACAAGAACAGAACCCAACAGGAGAGGACAGGAACACATGGGATGGGATCAGGACCCATGGAATGGTGTCAGGACCCATGGGATAAAGGCAGCACCCAATAGGAGGAGGCAAGAACCCCCATCCCAAGGCTGGTGGGATGGGGTCAGCACCCGTGGGACAAGAAGAGAACTCGACAGGAAAGGGCAAGAGCACATGGCATAGGGCTGGGACATGAGGTGGGGTAAGGATTCATGGGATGGAGTCAGCACCCGTGAGACAAGAGCAGAACCCAACTGTAGAGGATGAGAACCCATGGGATGGGGCCAAAACACATGGGGTGGGGTCAGAATCCATGGGAGGGGGACCAGGACCCATGGGGTGGAATCAGAACCCATGGTACAAGTGTAGCACCCGATAGGAGAGGATGAAAACCCATGGGGTCAGAACGTGTAGAGTTGGGGTCAGGACCCATGGGACAAGAGCAGAACAGGAGAGAGTGAGAACATAGGGTGTGGGGTCAGGACCATTGGGGTAAGGTCAGGACCTATGGGATGGAGTCAGGACCCGTGGGACAAGGACAGACCTTGCACAGGGCTGGACATGGTGGCACTGTGGGACATGGCAGCGTGTCCAAGCCACGCAGGTGCCATGTGGGTGCCATGAGGTGCATGTGGGTGCTGTGTGGGTGCTGTGTGGGTGCTGTGTGGGTGCTGTGCCTTGCTGTCACACGCACCATCTGTTGGAGGAAGCGATGCCTGTCCCAGCCCGCAGCCTGCACCGAATGCAGAAGTTGCACCGGGGTCTTGCAACACCCCACGGTGCTTATGGGGCCAGCACAGGGTGACACCGCTGTCCCCATGGTAGGGAGGTGGCTTGGGGTCTCCACCATCAATGGGTTGGAGTTGCTGAAGGGGAATGCATCCAGGGCCAGGACATGGGGCAGGACAGCCTGTCCCCAAACACCCAAAAGGGACGTGTCCCCCACGGACTGCCAGGAGCACAGACAGGCTGTCAGCAGCACTCTCACCCCAAAGACCCCTCAGGCTCATTTCAGGGCTGTCCCATAAGGTGACAATGATCTCTGAGTCACCCGCAGACGGTGGCACAGGACGGGGAGGTGTGGGTGACCCCACAACTGCAGGGTCCCCTCGTTGCCATGGGGTGGGGATGGACGTGTCCCACTGTGGTCAGACGGTGCTGCCCTTAACGGCCACATTTTGGGTGGAGAAAAGCCCAGAGCTGTGTCCTGGGGTGACTCCCTGCCCCACACACAGCGGCACCCCACCACCCTGACCACCCCTGAGCACACGGTGGAGCTGCGTGGAGCTGCCATCGCCTGGGCCAGCAAGGAGAAATCCAGCAAGAAGCACGTGCTGGAGGTGAGCGGGGGGACGGCGCGGGGACGTGGGTCACCACACGGGGTCACCCCCTCACCCCAACCATCCCTCACCCCAACCATCCCTCCCCCAGCTGAGGACGCGCGAGGGCTCCGAGTTCCTCATCCAGCACGACTCGGAGCAGATCGTCACCACGTGGCACCGGGCCATCGCCGACAGCATCGTGCTAATGGTGAGGGGCGGCCGCGCTGCCGCGTCCCCCCACACGTCCCCAATCCCACTGACCCCGCTCCCCCCCAGGGCTCCGATGTCCCCAACGAGGAGGACGCCGAGAGCGGGACGGAGTTCGGCTCGCGGGAGAAGCTGGGCGGTGAGGAGAGGAGGGCAGCGGGTGAGCAGCAGCACCCCGTGCCACCCCGATGTCCCCACGGGTGATGCTCACCCTGTCCCAACCCACAGCACCCACCCCAGGCGACAGCGATTCCAGCAAAGTGCGCAACAAACTCCGCAAATTCCTCCAGCGGCGGCCGACGCTGCAGTCCCTGCGTGAGCGTGGATACATCAAAGGTAGGGATGTGCCGTGCGTGTCCCCAAATGTCACCTCCCGCCCATGCCCACCTCCCCCTTTTTCTCCCAGATCAGGTTTTTGGGTGCTCGCTGCAGGCGTTGTGTGAGCGGGAGCACGGCACGGTGCCACGCTTTGTCCAGCAGTGCATCCACACTGTGGAGAGGAGAGGTACCAACGTGGGGGGGTGGGGACGTGGGGACGTGGGGACGTGGAAATGGCTTGGTGGCAATGTGGAGACATGGGGATATGGGAATGTGGGGACATGGGAACGTGGGGATGTGGGAATGTGGGGATGTGGAGATGGGGATATGGGAATGTGGGGATATGGATACATGGGGATGTGGGGATATGGGGATGTGGGAATGTGGGTATGTGGCAACGTGGAGACATGGGGACATGGGAATGTGGGGACATGGAGATGGGGGTATGGGAATGTGGGGACATGGGGACGTGGGGATGGGGTGGTGGCAACGTGGAGACATTGGGGATATGGGAATGTGGGGACATGGATGATGCAGGGACATGGGGACATGGAGATGTGGGGATGTGGGGACATGGAGATGTGGGGATGGGGTGGTGGCATCGCTTCTCTCAATTGGGAAAGTCCAAGTTTGATGAGGAATCCCTTTGAGTCTTCCCAAAAAACCATTGGGTTGGGGTTGTGAGATGGCACAGTCGTGCTGTGAGGTGCCACTGGCTGTCCCCAAACTGGTGCCACCAATGGCCATGTGGGGACAGCCCTGGGGACATGGGGACATGGGGATGGGGTGGTGACATTCTCACTGGGGTAAGCTCAGCTCTGACAAGAGGGATTCCCATGGGGTTTCCCCCAAAATCCGTTGGGTTGGAGCTGTGTGTTGGCATGGCTGTGCTAAAAGTGCCACTGGCTGTCACCACGCTGGTGGCAGCGCCACCTGGATGACCAGGAGTTGTCACCCCTCAGGGCTGGACATAGATGGGCTGTACCGGGTCAGCGGCAACCTGGCCACCATCCAGAAGCTGCGCTACAAAGTGGACCACGGTACTGTCCCCGTGTCGGGTGTCCCAGGGGTGTCCCCAAATGCCACCCATGGGTGTCCCATGTCCAACGTGTCCCCGTGTCCCTGCAGAGGAACACCTGGACCTGGATGACGGGCGCTGGGAGGACGTCCACGTCATCACCGGTGCCCTCAAGCTGTTCTTCCGCGAACTGCCGGAGCCGCTCGTCCCCTTTGGGCACTTTGACAAGTTCATTGCCGCCATCAGTAAGGGATGGGGACGGGGATGGGGACACCAAGGGTGGCCCGTCCTCCAGCATCACCTCCCCACGCCGTGTCCCATCCTGTTGCAGAGATGCAGGACCCGGTGCGGAAGGGACGCTGCATCCGTGACCTCGTGCGCTCGCTGCCGCCCGCCAACCACGACACCATGAAGGTCCTCTTTGGGCACCTCTGCAGGTGACACCGGGGGGCCACCAAAACCCCAAAGGCAGAGGGGGATGGGGCCACGTCATGGCTATGGGTCCAATCTAAAGATGTTTAGGGCTCTGTGTAGGGAGAGATCGAGTTCCACAGACCCCTGCAACACCTCATGAGGGCCAGGCTCTGGGTTTACCCAAATCCACACGGGGGCTGGCGTTGGGGTTCCCCATGGGAACAGGTCTTGGTGTTCCCCAGATTCTCACAGGGATGGGTCTTGGGGTTCCTCATATCCCACAGGAACAAGTCTCGGGGTCCTCCAGGGCCCTGCTAGGGACAGGTTTGGGGATCTCCATAGGAATGTGTCTTGGGGTCCTCCAGAGCCCCATAGGTACTAGTGTTGGGGTTCCTCATAGGAACAGATCCTGGGGTCCTCCAGAGCCCCACAGAGACTGGCTTTGGGATTCTCCATGGGAACCAGTCTTGGGTTCTTCCAGAGCCCCCATAGGGATGGGTTTTAGGGGTTCCCATAGGAATGGGATTTGGGGTTCCCAATTGGAACCGCTCTTGGAGTCCTCCAGATTCCCATTGAAACTGGTTTGGGGACCTCCATAGGAACTGGTCTTGAGGTCCTCCAGAGCCCCATAGGTACTGGTGCTGGGGTTCCCCACAGGAACAGCTCTTGGGGTCCTCCAGAGCCCAGAAAGAACAAGGCTTTGGAGTTCCCTATAGGAACCGGTTTTGGGGTCCTTCAGAGTCCCATTGGGGCTGGTTTAGGAATCTCCATAGGAACTGGTCTTAGGATCCTCCAGATCCCCATGGGGGCCTTGGGGGTCCCCATAATTCCACTGTGATGGGGATTGAGAGGTCCTGCAGAGCCTCGTGGGTCGGGGTCACATCTGAGGCCTGGGGTGACATTTAGGGGCACGGTGGTGACATCGTCCCTCGTCCTGCTGCAGGGTGATTGAGTTCAAGGAGGAGAACCGCATGTCGGTGCAGAGCATCGCCATCGTCTTCGGCCCCACTCTGCTGCGGGCACCCAGCGAGGAGGGCAGCATGGCTGTGCACATGGTGTTCCAGAACCAGGTGGTGGAGCTCATCCTCAACCAGTACGGACACATCTTCCCTGATGGGTAGCGTGTGACATGGGGACACCACAGGGACACCGTGAGGACACCATGGGGACACTGCGGGACATCATGGGAGCACCATGGGGAAACCATGGGGACATCGCAGGGGCATCATGGGGACACCATGAAGGAACCATAGGGACACCACGAGGACATGATGGGGACATCATAAGGACACCATGGGGACACCATGGGAACATCGCAGGGACATCATGGGAACACCCACCATGGGGACACCATGAGGACATCGTGGGGACACCATGGGGACACCATGGGGACACCATGAAGACACCATGGGGACACCACGAGGACACCATGGGGACACCATGAAGACACCATGGGGACACCATGAGGACATCATGGGGACACAATGAAGACACCGTGGGGACATCATGAAGACACCACGCGGACACCATGGGGACATGAGGATACGATGGTGACACCACAAGAACATCATCACAGAGACACCATGGGGACATGATGAAGACACCATGGGGACACCACACAGACGTCACGGGGCATCGAGGGGACACCATGGCTACACCATGTGACACCATGTGGTACCGTGAGGATGCCATGGGGACACCATAGGGACACCGTGAAGACACCATGGGGACACCATGGGGACACCATAAGGACTCAGGGACATCAAACTGGGTGTGACAGCACCTGAAGGTGGCACGAGGGATGGGGACACCGCTGGGGACGGTGACATGGACCCTCTGGGGGTGGGACACCCAGGATGGGGTGTGGAGATACGTGGCCGGGAGCGGTGCTCCTCAATAAAGAGATCGTAAGGACATGAGGACAGTTTGGTGACATGGGGACACCAGTGGGAAGATAGGGACACAGAGACACCATCAGGGGCACGGGGACACCATCAGAGATGTGGGGACATCAATGGGGACATGGGGACACCGTCAGGGACATGAAGACATCATCAGAGGCATAGGGACATCAGTGGGGACACTGGGGAAAAGGAGACAACAGTTGGGACATGGGGACACCAGTGGGGACATGGGGACACGGGGACACCATCAGGGACATGGGGACACCATCAGGGAAGTGGGGACAACATCAAGGACACTAGAACTCCAGTGGGGACATGGGGACATTATCGGGAACATGGGGACACTGGTGGGGATATATGGACATGGGGACAACGATGGGGACATGGGGACATCAGTGAGGACATGGGGATAAGGGCACACCACAGAAATGCTTTGGGACCCTGTAGGGACAGGTCACAGCGAGGGCGGTTTGGGGGACAACCGGGGCACTTTGGGGCATCATGGGGACACTTTGGGACATAACGGGGTGGTTTGGGATGCCATGGGGACACTGAGGCACTTTGGGGCACCCTGGGATGTCTGTGATTCAATGGGAATAGCTTGGTATGGGGTTGGGGACACTGGGGGACACTTTGGGGCACGTTGGGACACAATGGGAACTCTGTGATTCAATGGGGACACTTCAGGACAGAGTAGGGGACACTTGGGGGCACTTTAGGGGCAAACTGGGGCTCTTTGGGGTGTAGAGGACAGCTGGAGGCTCTTTGGGGACATGATGGGACACACTGGGGCTCTTCAGAACAGTTTTTGGGACACGACAAGAACTCTGTGACACTTTGGAACGGGGTAGGGGACATTTGAGGGCACTTTGGGGACACAGTGGTGTCCTTTGGGACAGCTTGGGGCACTTTGGGACACAACGGGGACTCTGTGATTCAGTGGGACGGCGGGGGATGGGGTAGGGGAGATTTGGGGGTATTTTGTGAGTCACTGAGGACACAGTGGGGACACAATGGGGACACAATGGGGTGTCATGGGGACACTTTGGGGCACGCTGGGCCACAATGGGAAATCTGTGGTTCAACGGGGACACTTTGGGATGAGGTAGGAGACATTTTGGGGGCGCTTTTGGGGCACACTGAAGCTCTTTGGGAACTCTTGGTGAGTCAGTGGGGGCACCGGAGACAAAAAGGGGACACTTTGGGACACTTTGGGACACTTTGGGACACTTTGGGGCACTTTGGGGCACAGTGGGAGCTCTGTGATTCGATGGGGGCACTTTGGGATGGGGTAGGGGACATTTGGGGACACTTTGGGGGCACGTTGGTTCTCTTTGGGATGGTTTGGAGCTCTGTGGGACACGATGGGAACGCTTTGTGATTCCACAGGGACACCTGGGGACATAACGGGGACACTGGGGCACTTTGGGGCACAATGGGATCTCTGGTTCAATGGTGCACTTCGGGATGGGGTAGGGGACATTTGGGGGCACTTTTGGGGTATACTGGGGCTCTCTGAGCCACAGTAGGAACCCAGTGAGCCAATGGGGACATTTGGGGATAGGGTAGGGGACACTTGAGGGCACTTTGGGGCATTTGGGGACATTCTGGGGCTCTTTGGGACACAATGGATACTCTGTGAATCAATGGGGACACTTTGGGACACTTTGGGACACTTTGGGGCAGTTTGGGGCACAATGGGAACCCTGTGATTCAATGGTGACGCTGTGGGATGAGGTAGGGGACATTTGGGGGGCACTTTTGGGGCACATTGGAGCCCTTTGGGACAGCTGGGGCACTTTGGGACACAATGGGATCTCTGTGATTCAAAGGAGGCACTTTGGGATGGGGTAGGGGATGTATGGAGGCACTTTGGGGGCAAATTGGGGCTTTTAGGGACAACGTGGGGCACTTTGGGTACTTTGTGACTCAACGGGGACACTTTTGGACCAGATTGTGGGGAATCTTTAGGGGCACTTTGGGACACAGTGGGGATTCTTTGGGACCCCGTGGTTCCCCTGGGGGCCCCAGTGCGTGGCTATGGGGGCGGTGCCAGCGGGGGGAGGACGGCCCTCCACCACCCCATAGATCCCACAGACCCCCGGTGTGCAGCTCCAGGTTTGGAGGAGGGGGAGGTGGGATTGGGTTCGGGATTGGGACAGGGAGGGAACCCCTCCCCTCACTCTGGGGGCAGTATGGGGTTATGGGGCGGGATCGGCTTTGGGGCCGCAAATCTGCTTTAGGGGGGGTGGTGGGGATGGGGCGGCGTGGTACAGATCTGTGGGATTGGGGGGGGAGGGGAAAAAATGAGGAAAAAAGGGAAAATGGAGGGCAAAATGTGGGAGGGGGGAGAGAGGGGGATAAGGGGAAAGAAGGGGGGAAAGGGGCTGGGGGCTGATAGGGGCTGATAGGGGCTGATAGGGGCTGATAGGGGCTGATAGGGGCTGTGGGGCCGGGATGTGTGCACCCCCCAGCATTACTCACGGTGCAAAGGTCGCAGCGCGCTGCGGAAGTGCCCCGATCCCATTCCCGGCCCCGATCCCCACAGATCCGGCTGCACGCAGGTAGGGGCCGGGCCCCATAGCGGAGCCCCACAGGGTTTGGGCTCTGGGGTCCCCAAAAGCCCGTAGAGACTGGGATTGGGGTATCTCCAGAGAGATGGAGGTTTAGGGACTCTGCATCCCTGTGGGAACCGGACGCGGGGTCCTCCAGAGCCACACGGCGATGGGTTTTGGGGTTTCCCATAGGGACCAGGCTTTGGGGTTCCCCACAGAAAACGGTCTTGGGGTCCCCAGACCCCCACCGGGACCCCCTTTGGCGGGCCCCATAGGGATTGGCTGCGGGGTTCCCCATAGGGGCCAGGCTCAGGGGTTCACCACAGCCCCATAGGGTCCACACTTCAAGGTTCCCCATAAGGACCAAGCTTACGGGTTCCCCATAGACACCTGTACTGGGGTCATCCACAGCCCCATAGGGACTAGCTTTGGGATTCCCCATAGGAACCAATTATGGCGTCCTCCAGAGCTGCATGGGGATGGATTTTGGGGGTTCCCATAGGGATGAGATTTTCCTGATAGGAATCACTCTTGGTGTCCTCCAAAGCCCTATAGTGATAGGCTCTAGGGGTCTCCATAGAAACTGATCTTGGGGTCCTCCAGAGCCCCATAGGGATGGGTTTTGGGGTTCCCCACACAAACTGCTCTTGGGGTTCTCCAGATCCCAATAGGAAACTGTCCTGGTGTCCTCCAGATTCCCACAGGAATTGGTTTGGGGATCCCCATAGGAACCGGTCTTGGGTTCTCCATCTGAACTGTCCTTGGGATCCCCAGAGCCCCACAAGGACGGTTTCTGGGGGTCCCCACCCCATTGCAGGCACCGCTGGGGCCGAGATGGAGCGCAGCGCCTGAGCACAACGGGGACGAGCCATGGAGACGGTGGTCATCGTGGCCATCGGGGTTTTGGCCACCATCTTCCTGGCGTCCTTCGTGGCCCTGGTGGTGGTGTGCAGACAGCGCTACTGCCGCCCCAAAGACCTCCTGCACCCCTATGACACCAAGTGAGCTCGGGGACGCCGTGGCTGTCCCCATGTCCTTGTCCCCATGTCCTTGTCCCCATGTCCTTGTCCCCATGTCCCTCGGTGTGTCGCCATGGGCGGTGTGTGGACCCCATGGGTTGGGGACAGTACTGGGGATGTGTCACGCATTATGGCATCGGGTTGGAAGAGCCCCATTGGGATTGGAGAGGTGGCACCAGGCTGTCCCCATGTCCTTGTCCCCATGTCCTTGTCCCCATGTCCTTGTCCCCATGTCCTTTGGTGTGTCCCCAGTGGGTGGTGAGGATCCCATGGGTTGGGGACAGTGTCATCCGTGATGGCACTGAGGTTGGGGAAAGTCTTTGGGAACACCATTGAGGATGGAGAGGTGGCACCAGGGTGTCCCCATGTCTTTGTCCCCATGTCCTCGTCCCCATGTCCTTGTCCCCATGTCTTTGTCCCCATGTCCTTGTCCCTTTGCCCCCCCCTGCACACCCCAGTGGGATGGTGCAGATCCCATGGGTTGCAGACAGCGTTGGGAACGTGTCACACATTGGGATTGGAAGATCCCCAGTGGGGATGGAGAGGTGGCACCAAGATGTCCCCAAAGCCACCCGTGTCCCCTCCAGACCCATCGTGGACCTCATCGGGGCCATGGAGACGCAGTCGGAGCCCTCGGAGCTGGAGCTGGACGACGTGGTCATCACCAACCCCCACATCGAGGCCATCCTGGAGAACGAGGACTGGATCGAGGACGCCTCGTAAGCGCTGTGTCACCTGTCCCCAAAGTGCCACCGCTGCCCATGGGGGTGAGGATGGGGTCTGCCCCGATTCACACCTCCTTCGTCCACAGGGGCCTGGTGTCACACTGCATTGCCATCCTGAAGGTGAGTGACCCAGTGTCCCCATGGCCGGTGTCCCCAGTGTCCCTGTGGTTGGCATCCCCAACGTTCCCATGATTGCTGTTCCCATTGTTCCCGTGGGTGGTGTCCCCACGGTCCCAATTTCCCTATTGTTGGTGTCCCCAGAGTCCCCACGGTCCCAAAGTCCCCATGGTTGGTGTTCCCCATATTCCCAGTGTCCCTATTGTTGGTGTCCCCATTGTTTCCCTGGTTGGTGTCCCCAGTTTCCCCTCAGTTGGCATCTCCAGTGTCCCCATGGTCTCAATGTCCCCGTGATCCCAGTGGCCCTATTGTTGGTGTCCCCAATGTCCCTATTGTTGGTGTCCCCAATGTCCCTATTATTGGTGTCCGCAATGTTTCCATGGTCTTAATGTCCCCATGATCCCAATGTTCCCATAGTCCCAATGTCCCTATTGGTGTCCCAGTATCCCCATGCTGTCAATGTCCCCAATGTCCCATGGTTGGTGTCTCTATGGTCCCAAAGTCCTTGCGGTCCCCATGTCACTACTGTTGGTCTCCCCGGTGTCCCTGTGGTTGGTGTCCCCAATGTCTCCACGGTCCCAAAGTCACCACGGTTGGTGTCCCCATTCTTGGTGTCCCCACGTTTGGTGTCCCCCCCGTCCCCGCCGTCCCCACAGATCTGCCACACGCTCACAGAGAAGCTGGTGGCCATGACCATGGGCTCGGGCGCCCGCATCAAATCCCCCTCCAGCCTCGGTGACATCATCGTGGTGGCCAAACGCATCAGCCCCAGGTGAGGACGGGGGACGGCGGCACATCGCCACGCACGTCCCCACGTCACCAACCCCATCCCTGCGCCACCACCAGGGTGGACGACGTGGTCAGGTCCATGTACCCCCCGCTGGACCCCAAACTGCTGGACGCCAGGTGACGACGGGTGGGGAGGGGACACTGGGGGCCGCGGGCGACGGCGGGTTGGGATCCTACAGAAGCCACTCCTCGTCCCCAAGCCGCCGTGACGGCCGTCCCACGTCCCCGCAGGGCCGCGGCGCTGCTGCTGTCTGTCAGCCACCTGGTGCTGGTGGCACGGAGCGCCTGTCCCCAACCCGGTGACCGGGACTGGGTGGACCGATCGCTGGCGGCCGCCGAGCAGCACATGGCCGCCCTGCGCCACGCCGCCATGGCCACCGAGCCTGAGAGGACGGCGGGCACCGAGCCCTTCAGGCAGGAGCAGTCGGCCATCTGAGCCCAGTGGCACCGGGAATGGCACCGTGCGCCGTGCCACCAATGGTGCCACCACCAGAGTCACCAGAGCCACTGGTGCCGTCACTGGTGCCACTGGGTGCTACCAGCAGTGCCAGGTGGATGGCACCACCAGTGCCACTAATGCCACCACCAGTGGTGGTGACACTGATGTCGTCACTGGTGTCACTGATGCCACCACTGGTACCAGTCGGGTGCCACAACCAACGCCACTGATGCCACCACCAGTGCCAGATGGATGCCACCATCAATGCCACTGATGCCTTCATATATGTCGTCACCAGTGTCACTGATGCCACCACCAGTGCCACCACTGGTACCAGCTGGATGCCATCACCAGTGCCACTGATGCCACCACCGGTGCCACTGATGCCTCCTGCAGTGTCACCCCAGGTGCCACCAATCCCCTGCAGGAGGAGCAGTCCCACCCGAGCCCCGGGCTACCAGCGATGCCCCCACCGGTGCCAATAAACGCCCCATGACACTGCTGCCTGTCTGTGGTTGTGGCCCTGGGGACAGCAGGTGACACGGGGGTGATGCTGTCCCCCCTCCCCCCGCACACGTGGTGCTCCCGCTTCTGCTTTTGGGGAGCACGTGGGATTTCCAGGGGAGGGGGGGGATCCAAAACCAGGGGGGCTCAGCTGGGAACCTCTAAACCCAGACACAGTGTGTGGGGGGGGTTCTTATAGGACCCCTCCAAATCTTGATTCAATGAAAGGGGGCTCTTATAGGACCCCCCCCAAAAAACAGCCCTTCCTCCCCATCCAGGCCCGGGGGGCTCCCCGTTTCCCTGTGTCTCCCCCCCCGTGTTTCCCCTCTATGGGATCTGGGCGGTGGTCCGGCAGCTTTGTGCCCCCCGGGCTGAGAACGGCCGCACTCATCGCACTGCTCCTAAGCGGGGAAAAGGGGGGGGGAAGGGGGAGGAGCGGTCATGTGGCTTTGCAGCACGTGATTGGAGAAGCGTGGCCAGGTGTCCCCGCCCTTCTGCCGGCGGCGACCAATGGGAGCGGAGTGAGGCGGCACGTGTTTGAGGGGAGGGGCTTGATGTACCCGCCCTCCAAGAGACGGCGACCAATGGGAGTGAAGCAAGAGGGCGTGGCGGGCCAATGGGGAGGGAAGGGGCGTGGCTCGCGGAGAGGAGGGGCGGGGCGTGGAGGGAGGAGAGCGTCGGGAGCGTGCGGGGTGCGCAGGGGTGGGGGGGGACTGGGAGAACTGGGGGCGACTGGAACCGGGAGGCGCTGGGGAAACTGGGAGGCACTGGGGGGGGGAACTGGGAGAAATGGGAAGCTGGGAAGTGCTGGGAGACACCGGGGGGAGCGGGGGGTCCTTGGGGCTGGGGTGCACTGGTGGAACTGGGAGGCACTGGGGGAAACTGGGAGACGTGGGGAGGGGAACTGGGAGGCAATGGGGGGAACTGGGAGCCGCCCCCCC